CACACTGTTGACTCATGTTCAGCCGAGCATCAACCAACACCCCCAGGTCCCTTTCCTCTTCACAGTCATCCTGCCACTCATCCCCAAGCCTATAATGCTGCATGGGGTTGTTGTGGCCAAAGTGCAGGACTGGCACTTGGCCTTGTTGAACCTCATCCCATTCACCTCAGCCCAGCGAACCAGCTTATCTAAATCCCTCTGAAAGGCCTCCGTACCCTCAGGCAGATCCGCACCACCTCCCAGCTTGGTGTCATCTGCAAACTTACTGAGGATACACTCAATCCCCTTGTCTAGGTCATCAATAAAGAATGACAAAACAGTGGAGGGACTGGAGCGTGCCTTGTATTACATAGCATTTCATCTTATAACTATGATCAGGTTCAGTGAGGAACTTGGATCAGAAAGGATGACAACCAGAGAGAGCCTGCAGCAGGTTGCATCTGGTGACATTCCCTTGCTAGACATTGTCTGGAACGTGAAGGAAAGAGGCACAGCTAAGATGATGGGTGATAGAATTTCCTTAGGGAACCTAATTATGAGGCCTTGCACAGAGCAAAGACCAAATAAAACCTCTCGGATGAAGAGAGGAACATACTCTCTGAACCCAAGAGGGATGGGAATCCATCACCTTCTCTGATGGGAAAACAAAGCAGCCTGCCAAAGAAAGGAGAATATTTTCCAAGTCTGTTTCCCCTCAGATTACATAGGAGCAGGTGGTCTGTAGGGTTTGTAGCTGTTTCCTTATTGTTCTTCCTAGGTCATGGTTTCATGAGCTCTTCCTCCTTCAGCTTCCTGTGTTCTCTGTTGCAGGTGTCTTTTACCAGACCTCAGCCTCCAGTGCCTTGGCAGGCAGTCTGCATGCTGGGGACAGAGTTCCAGTACTGTTTGATGCTCTTGGAACAATGCCGCTGGAGAAGCAGATCCATTACAACCTGTGGTATGCAATGTCTGGCTTTGGAGCTGGGGTACACAGTGCAGACAACATGTCAGTTGATTGGAGAAGTCTTCCTGCATGTGGCAGCAGGACTCCATAGATGCTAGAAAGTGCTCCTCAGCTACATCTTCCTTGCTACCTTCCATAGCAGTGGTAGGGTTGAGCTGCTGTGCGGCTTTATCCTCAAGCAGTACAACAGCAACACCCAGGTGTCAGCATCCCCATGATGTCAGATGCAAGTGCCCTAACAAAGGCACTGCCACCATGAGTGACAATTGATGTCATCTCAATGGAGCCCATGTTCCTGCATCCAACCACTCATGTTGGAGTTCATGTACTTCTTTGATCCTTGTTACTTCTCACCTTTGTCCACAGCATGCTTCAGGCTCTGGAACCATTCAGGTGAGCAGCAAGTTTATCTACTAGGAACTGTGTCTATCTTTTTAGTGCTCTGTGGGAGGGTTGTGCTCAAGCAGAGGGAGGTCACATCTAGGGACCAGTGCTTCCTAGCTGTTCAGCAAGAGCACAGCAGAGACATAACATCTCAAGGCCAAGTTAGCTTTGCCTGTCTGTGAGGCATGAGGCAATTGCTTGCATCCTTGAGCCGCTTGCCTGCGTTCAACATCTGCAGCAGCTGAAACTCAAGAGACCAAGCAGCCAAAGGAGTTGGTTTCACAGACCCTAAAGTTACAAGAAATCCAGTTCCTTGAGCAAAAAAAGTACTGCCTTTGAGAATTGCAGTTTATGTTGGTCGTGGGTTGTCAGGACTAGCTTAACTGTCAGCCCACAGTCCTGGAATAGGCCACATGGTAATTAACAGAATTAGTGCTTTCTGTGGCTTTGAGATTCTTTACTGAAGAACTTTAATGGTAGAATTAGATAAGCCAAAAAATCAAGTGACTTATGTGCAGGGGGAAAAAGGAGAGGTGGAGAAGGGGGAAGACGGTAGTACTAAAGTGAGAAAAGCACCTCCTTTTTCACAACAGAGCAACATACCTGTTTGGGAGTTTCTCAGATTGTCCAATGCTTCCTTGAAGGTAGCCCAAACAGCACAAGCACTAACTTGCTGGAGGACAGAGCCAATAGGGCTGTCCTATCAGATGTGACCTTTTCCAGCAAATGTGTAAACTCAGTTCCTTGCAAATTACCTCACTCACCAGAGTTTTCTAAACTGAATCCCTTTAGTACAAAGACTAGTTGCCTGCAGCACTTACAAGACAGGTAGGAAGCATGCCTAAAGGGGAAGAGAGTGACCCAAGGCAGGCAGCACTAAGGAAAATACAATGTGAGCAAGGAAAAGTGAGAAAGCTGTTGTTTTACTCTTCTGAAAACAAACAATAATCAGTGCACATAAGCACCCCTGTGAACTGTGATTTGGGTGGAGAGTAGGTAGCAGTGGTTCAGCTCTGTGGGTGGCCACAATGTGTAGAAAGGTTGCAGGGTCACCAAGTGAGACAAACATACAAAGCATGGTGGATGTGGCACTGCTTAGGAACACTGTGGCACCTGCGGGGAATCCCTGAGGAGAATTTGAGAGAAAGGGCCAGTATGCTCACAGCTGGGGATGGGGATTGTTTTGGTGTCAGCCTCCCGCCAAAAGCAGGAACAATAGACTCAGGAAGGAAAGAGTTTGTGAAGTCAACGGGTCCTGGAAGAAGATTTCCAGTTGAGAAGGGAAGTACAGAAAGGAAGGGATCATAGAATCTATAAATAGCTGGACCCAGTGAAAGCGCTGGGACTTTAAGAGGAGAGATTACAGGCCTCTGCACTTAACAGGGGAAAGGTGCTGACCACTAGAATGCTTCAGGAGAAAGGAAGTCTCAGGCTGCAGCTGTAATTATTTTAAGCTGAGAGACTGACAACAAACCATGAACCTCTGCAAGTAGGATTATCAGACAGGCAGGATGACCCAGACAATAAACTGGGTGTGTTAAAAGCAACTAAGAAAGTGACCGGGTCTGAAACTTGTTCATTTATTCACTGCAGTCCTGTTGTTTAGTCAGGATGTCCCAACAGAGAAACAGTCAATCTTTTCCAGCTATCCCGTTGCCTCCACCCCCTACTTTTCCTTCTTCATCTTGTCTAGAATCATCCTCTCACATTCATCCCATTTGCTCTTCCTTGGTGAGTTAACAGTTTCACTCCTTTGCAGTCCCTGAGCTTTCCACCTCCTTGTAGTCTGAAACTGGATGGCAGTACAGCACTTGATCACAGGTTAGTTTTTTTTCCTCCTTTCTTTTATTTTGGAGCAAGAGCCCTCTGAAGACACTTTGCCTCGTATCATCCACCCTTCCTGTTCTTGCACAATGGCTCATGCCAACACATGGTGGGTACTTTCTAACCATTTTTCCATAGGTGAAGCTGGAGTTGTGGTGACACTGGCATTGTATCAGTTTCAGCCCCACAAGCAACACGGAGCACCCCTGCCAGTCTATGTGCAGTTAACCTAGGAGCAGTTATTTCTTCAAGAAGCACTGTTCAGGTCCATTTTAACTCCAGGACTGCTTTCCTCACAAGCAGAGGGGAATTTTGCAGCCTCTTGTCCATGAATAAAACACAAGCAGATCTGAATATGCAACTGAAGCAACCCAAAGTTGTGCAGTTTGCCTGCACTTCAGTCAAGTAGAACGTGCCTGAAATAGAGCTGAGCAACCAACAACTGCAGCCTTAGGTTAGACTTGTAAACACAGTAGGAGCAAAGGGAATTCAGAATGACTTTTAACAGCTCAGGAATTGCTGTGCAGAACTGACATCTAGTACCTTCCTCGTTGTGGCAAACCAGCCACAAGGACGTGAAATGGGGAAATGGGATGGAAAGTAAACTGAAGCACAACTGGCCCCAAGCTCCACACAGGGTTGTGGGACTGTCACCAAAGGTTAGAGGCTAACCACAACTCAGCTGCCATCACACAGCACAGCTGGCCTGTGCACACTACAGGCTCTGAGACAGATTCTGCCTACAGGACAGAAATGTTATTAGTGGGTTGAGCAAGCTCAGCTTCTGCTTTGGGGAAATGGATGTGATCTGCCATAGAAAATCTTTAACAACTTCTTTCTAGAAAAACTCCTCATCAACAGAAAATCCAAGCTTTGCACCATACTTTAAAAGCTCTTGCCAAGAAAAATGTCAGAATTAAATTAATTATCTGCCAAGCACAGCTGTGCAAGCTTTTCACAAGGAAGGGCTTCATTTAAAAAATTGGTGACTAATGTTGTCACTGTGTCACTGTTAGGCAAAGAGACACATCTGTATGTTTTCACAGATAGTATAGGGGAAGAATAGGCTTTGCTAGCCTTATGAAATTCAGACACAGTTACTTCACTTGTGCATCTCTCTGTTCATGCAAAACCACTCAAAAGCATGGATAACAAGTTTCAACTAGAACCTTTACACTTAAAAACCCCCTGCATTTGCTCCTGTGGAAAACTAAGTTTCCAGGCAGACCTATTACGTTAATACAAGACCATTACGGGTTTTTTTTTTGTTGTTTTGTTTTCTTCCCATGGGAAAGTTCTTTACAGAGGCTCTCTTTTACTAATCCACTTGGGGTTGGGTACCCAGGACTAAGAGCCATACCAAAATTTATGAACTACAGTAAAGCAGAGCAGTTTTTTATTCCTGATATGATTTCTCCTGTCCCTTAATTCAGCTCTTGGCAGCAATTTGATGTGCAAACATTCTTTAGGAGACACATTCATATAATCTATGGTGTGTCACTATTTCTGGCAACCTTCAAGCAGGCCATTATGATCAAGTGGTTGGGTTTTTCTAGGACAAACAAATCTGTTCAGACTTTGTCCTGTGGAATTTCAGGTTGTTTATGCTATAACCAGGGGTCCTGCTTGCTGGCCATTTCTGTCCTCACCACCAGTTCTGGACCCACCTACTGCCATCCCTAATTATAACCCAATCAGACTTAGAAAAATTGAAGTCATGCTTCCACCTTTTCCTCTGTAACTCTCTTCTACATTTTTATTTTGACCTTACCTGAAAGGCAAGTACTAGTGTTTGGAAACATCCAGGCTAACAACATCAATTTCTCTTTTTATCACAGTGCAAGTCAGGTCATTTCATCCTTGACTGTTCTTGTTTTTTATCTCACAGGCCTGGCAGGCCTCATATGCATTAGACCAAAACAGCAAGATGCTCAGTTGGCAGTCAAGCAGTGGAACACATACAGTTACCATACAACACAGCTGCTACTTTACACGGGAGATGGTACTACAAGAGGAGATGAGATCTTTAAATGCAAATGTTTATGCACTGACATATTTGATTAGATTGTATAAGCTTAGTGATTTCTCCTAAAATTGGGCCTAGAATAGTAAGTAAAGTCACAGTTAAATCCAAGCTTGTTTAATGTCTGTTGCTTGGTTCTCCAACTACTTTTCTCTTTTCCTGAGAAGTGGTATTACCAATTCAGAGCCAGCTGTCTATTTAGCCTCATCCTTTTGGTTTTCATGCTTCTTTCCATACAATGGTAAAGGTACAGTGCTAGAGATGCCTTGAACAAGATCTGTCCCAACAGCCACTGCATTTCTGCAGTCTCACAAGAGACCTAGACAGCATCCATCTCAGATCTTTATCCACAGCACACTACTTCTATGCATCCAGTATGCTGTGAGAGACTAATTTCCACTCTTTAGCAGGCACCAAGATCTTTGTAATACTTTCACCAACAGCATTTAAATCTGCCCATCCCCAACTCCTTTTTCAGTCTGTGCTTGCTAAATACCAGTTTTGATTTGCTAGCTGCTACAATTCTGCAGTCATTTAATCCCAAATGTTCACTTACAACTTCAGACTGTATCATCTCTTCTCCAAACAGCCCTACAGCTGTTAGTCCCTATGTGGTTGGCAGAAGCTTGACTGAGGTTTTTGAGTCTAACTGAAACATGATCTTCACGCATGCCAACTCAGAACAAGCAGTACACTGCACAAGGCTACTACAAGTTCACTCCGCATCTGATAGAATTTACTGCTGAGATACAATAAGTAGCCAGTTTTTAGCCTATTCAGTTTTATACCATGAATGTTTGCTTTTCCTTTTGCATTTTCTTGTAGCCTTGGGATTATTGTGCATGGGAAATGCCCATCACATGTTACACATGTTTAGGCAAATCGTTATGTTTGAATAAGCAAATCAGGACAGCACTGGTTCAGCAGTCTCAAGATGCTTTCAAGAGCAGAAAGCAGGACAAAGGGAAAGGTTCAATAGGCATTCCCTTGCTGAATGGCACTTAACAGGACATAAGCATACCTGATGCAGGCTAGAAAAAAAGCAACCCGATCTGCTATCAGACACTTCCATTCACACCTTTGTTAGCGTGAACAGACAGACCATACAAGACAGAAGCCTTTCTCCTGTCCCTAAGCTGTACTCTATCATTCATTCCTGGTGTTATCCCAATAGATTGGAGGGTAAGCAGGAGGGAAATCCAGGCTTAGAATCATAGAATCACCAGGGTTGAGGAAGACTAAGGTCCACCTGACATCAATATTTTCCATTAAACCATGCACCTCACTACAACATCTAAACATTTCTTGAATGTTTCCAGTGATTACGACTCCACCACCTCCCTGAACAGCTCGTTCCAGCACCTAAACACTCTTTCAAAGTTCTTCCTGTTGTTCAACCTGAATCTCCTCTGGAAAGGCTTTTGAAACTTTATCACTTATGCCAGCTGCCTTACCCACAGGAGTCAACAAGCCTGCAGGTGAAGGACACTGAAGATTTCTGAAAGATCTGAGAATAAACAGAATTCTGTGTCAGCTCAACTGAGCAAGAAAGAGGAAGGAATAGAAGTTCTCTATAGCCCTACTCATGCAGAGTTCCTTGAACAGGAAGCTTGGGGGCAGGGCAGCCCTCACCACCTTATGGATGTACATACATGGAAGATAAGAAGCTCTTTTGTCTGTTTTGAAGAGTTGCACATGTCATGCATCTCCCTTCACTGAGTGCAAGTCAAGAGGATCTGTTCCCTTCTGTACTTCTATATTCCTGTAGTGCTCACAGTCAGAGTAGTCTTGTTCATCCTTGTTTATTTATTAGAAAATCCCTACAGGTCTAGGCATTTAAAATGAAGCATTAGTTACATGGAATACAGGCCCTCAGAGTCCAGAAGTTGCCGGATATATTGCAGTGGTGGACTGGAGCCAGCAGTGACCCAGTGACCTCTGGGGTAGGTGTGCTGGTATGGATGGAGACACTGGCAGGGCAGCTGTAATCATGAGCCAACCTTCTCAACATAGTTAGCAGGATAGAGTCCAACGTGGCCAGTGAGAAGTCGGCCCTTGCACCATCCCTGCTCATCTTCCTCACTAATCTTCATTAGTTCTTCACCTACAAGCAAAGACAGTTATTAGGAAGGAGCTTTGGAAAAGGTAGCATGGCATTTACTTTGTGAACTCTGAGGGAAAAGACCTGTTGGTCTGAATCACCACACCTTTTCCCCTTTATCACACTCAACATCAGTTTAATTTTGTCCACAGTCACTGACCTCTTCATTAGCTGTTGTCAGTATCATCCCCTGGGCCAAGGGGATTCCTCAATGGAAGTTTTTTTTGTTCTTTAGTTCTACTCAGTTTCCTTTCCCCAAAAGTACTTAGAAGCCAAAGGGAGCAGAAAGCTCAGGTTTTCTTTCTCACCAGCTCCTCGGTAGCAGGTGGGAAAGAAATTTCAGCAGCTGCTAAGCTCTGGCTGGTAGGGGCCAAAATGGCTATTCTGTGATAGACCATCTAGCTTGACCAGAAAGGCATGCAATCAACTTCTTTCTCAGACTATGACCAGGAAAGACTACAACTTTTAACCTCTCCAGGTCAACTTCAGGGAATTGCAGAAAAGACCCCTTCTCCATCAATAGGAGAGCCATACATCTGCCAGAAAGTCTTCTGCATTATTAAGAACATCCCGCACTGGTAGAGGCTGGGAAAGAAAGTCATCTGCTATTAAACTTAAGCCCTACTGGTCCATGCTTGCCAGAGCAGATTCAGAAGATGGATAACAGAATATAATAAGGCATGCTTTTTTAACCATTAGATCCGTTGAGTGGAAAGAAAGAGCAAAGAGTCAAGTTCCAGAGCACACATACTGTAAGATATTTTATAGCAAAAAAAGTTTGTGTTTAGTAGCTAGTTTACTAGCAGCACAGATACTGGAGCCTCAGACATACACCTCTGCTACTGAAAGAATTCAGCACCTTTTTAGAAAGGGGCTATTTTGGAGTTGTATAGCAGAGATGCCACATAAGACAAAACAAGCAAGATTAGAGACGCTCAAGATCCAGATGTTCTCTTGGGTTTGGAGATAGAACATTCAAACAAAATTGTAAGTAAAGGAAGAAAAGTGGAAGGAATCTACTTGCTTCAGCATTCTTCTCCTCTCAATCCTCTGCTGGGAGCTAGGCTCTCCAAGCAAGATATTCATTTTGATCAATACTTTGCATAATTTTTTTTGCCAGCTGAACTCTGTCCTCAGTAGTGTGCATCACTGAACTAGGCTTTCTCCCAGAACATCCATCTTTAGTTAATTCAAAGGACAATACAAACCTTGCATTAAAGAAAAGGCAAGAAGGATCTATTTCATCACTTGGATCTGCTGCTTTCCCTATACTGCAAGCAAAACCCAAGCAAGTTTCTGATGATTCTGATGAGGCCTCGCTTTTTCTTAATCTAAAGAGATTGAAATGTCCAGTGTATCATCTGCCTCAGTTGGCAATAGGCCAGTCCACAAGTGCAATAATTATCAGTTCAAGGTAACATCCAGTTCTTAAGGAGTGTTCCAATCATTCACTCAGCTCAAGTGAGGACAGCAAAAGGTTAGTAAGAGATTAGTGCTTCTGTACCTGCTTTAAAGCTCAGCTCATCTGCCTCCTGTCCTGTGTAATCATACAGTGCTCGTACCCGTACACCTGGTACCTTTATGTCCTCCTCATGCCCGTTGGCATCCAGGCACTTCTTTGGAGTGTCCTCATCTGACCACTCCGAAATATCTTCCTTCCCTCCACTGCATTTGTGGAAGCAGAAAGGAAATATGATAATTAGATTTCTCTCACACACTTACTCCTTAATCCACATACCATTCCAATCTCTCAGAGACTACTATGCTATAGAACCAAGTGCAAAAGACCCAGAAGCCAAGAGAGGGTGAACAGAGAAGTGAGATACCAGAAGACACTAGATTTGGTTGAAAGCATAGCAATGATAGGACCCTGAGGGCTAGGAGGCAGACTCACTCTGTGTTTTCATATATGTATTTTTCATGTCTTCATCCTACTCTAGCAGACCCTCTCATTCAGGGAAGGTCAGTTCTAATGGAAAGTCCAGCTGTATCTGGAGGCATTCCAGCCAAGAACAGGACAGAGAAGGAAAAACCATGTCTCCCATATTGAACAGATGTGGCTGGAATGTTATTTTCCAAGTCAGAAGCAAGAGCAAAGGGGAAGAGCAGCAGAGGACAGGCACCTGGAACCCAGAAACCCTGAAAAGGCTGTATTCCATACTAACTTCACAAATGTGGGTGCCCTCAGGCTGTCATAGAAGAGGCTGTTCTGTTCCTCTTGATAGAAAGACCTGTAGATGGGCAAATAGGGCCCCTGAATCCATTAGACTGAAATGGCCTTGAAACACCTTTATAGTCCCATTCTTTTCTGCCCAGTTCATAATGCCAGAGTTCTCCTTTAAAGGCCAGGATGCTAGCGGCACAGTAGGACAGTGCTCTGTTCAGCCTCTCCCTATCCTGACTGCTTACTGGCAAGAGAGGGCAGCTATACCCTGACTTATCAGGCAGTATTCAGCATCATATTAGGCAACACAAACCAACAAACCCAAACCACAAATATGCTTGCATTTAAGAAACAGTACAGCTAACTCACGAAGCTGTCAGTTTCTAATTTTCCTTAGCCTGCCTAGGACAAGCAGGAATAAGGCCAGATCTCGTCACTAGAAGGACCTTAAGGCAGGCACCTAATGAGAGTGAGACAGTATACACTGTATACACTATAGACCAAGAAGAGCTCCATGAAAACCTCCTTCTCTACATTGTCTTGTATTTCTTGTCCTGTGGGGCCTTGCCCAAGGCAAGTTAAGATGTCACTCCTACTCAACAATGATCCTGGGCAGGACTGTATTTTTCCTAACCTGAGGCATCCCAGAATTCAGCCCTTACCCTTGCCTTGTCTGCAGAGGAGTCTGTGAAACAACACCATCCCGTGTAGGCAAAATGCTGGTCAATGTGACATCATCAGCCACCTTACCACTCTTTTCCTTCTTGGTGATTGGCCGCTGTGTTTCAAGGGACCATTCCTGTTCAAGGAAAGAGCAATAATACCATCAAGCCATTAAGATAAAAAACTCTAGGCATATTTTCTGACCAATACAGAAAGGAAACAAGTAAAGAACAGCAGGTTATGCTTCATCTATGGCTGATCAGTTAATTGGCCTTGCAGCCATAACAGGCCCACTCCTATTGAATTCCAAAGTGCAACAAGAGGGCCTGTAGGACAGGTTACAACAGGAGCTTATTCCAAGGTCCTGAGCACCATCTCCTCTTTCTTGCTCTTGCAGCCAGATAAGCTGGAGTAGTTGCAGTTTAGCAGGGTTGTAAACATCCCCTTATGCAAAAAGATTGCAAAAAGCCAAAGTTCCTGAAGAGTCTAGTATCCTTAATCTCTGATCAAGAAGTCTCACTTAAAGATCAGAGACACTAGCACAGGTTAGCCTAAAGGAACCAAATGCCAACTCTCAGACTTGGAAGGGGAAAGGAAAAAGACCTGCCTGATGCAGGTCTCTGCAATACAGAATTAGCAATCCCCCAGTCCCAGAAAAAACAGGTGGTAAGAAATAGTAATAATACACTTGTGAATGCGTGTCACCTCAAATTGAGGCCAATTCATGGCCATGCCTGGTCCATGAGTGTTACGCCACCATTTCAGGTCCTCCTGGTTGTCTGCAGCCATGATAACTTGATAGAGATCTCGATACAATGCTTGAAAGCTATGGCCAAGAACAGACAGAGGCATCAGTCCATCAACAGTTCCCCAAAACCCAGTTAGGAAAGAGGACCTTAACTTCATGAATAGCTACACAGCTTATTAAATCCTATGAAGTTAAGGTTGCTAGAGTAATAGCTGTTCCTCTCTAGGGAAAAAGAGCAAGCTTTGCAGAAGAGGGTAGCAAGCAGGACAAGCTGTTTGGTGTGGCAGTAGCTAACATTTGATGAGCTGTGCTGAGAACTGGCAGATATGCATTTAAAGAGCATGGCCCATTTTATACAATATCTCTCTTCTCTAGGCAGAATGGGCATTGCTTGCTGAAGTACTAGAAAGTAATAGTCTCAGTCCTCCAATTTTGATTACAGGTAGCAACATGGAGACATCTCATATGAAAGCTGCTCCAAAAGTAATGTCTCCTGTTTTATTGTGTTAACCTGCAACAGAGGTAGGTATTGGTGGCACAGCAGTAGAGGTTGAATCTCCCTGCCACTATTCCATTATATTTTGTTGCTGTGAGATGGATGATAGCAGAGGGCCAGTCTGACAAAATAGCATCTGACCTGGAAGTGCACATGAAAGAAAAGAGTGTCACTGAACACCGTTTGGAAAAATGTGGCACCACTGACATTCATCAACACTTGCTGAATATTTATGGAGACCAAACAGTGGATATGAGCACAGTGAGGTGGTAGGCAGCACATCTCAGTAGTGGTGACAGCAAGTCACCTCCAGTGGCACATTTTTATTTATTTTTTTAAACAAGCATGGATTGTTCATTGCTGGCAAAAAAAATGCAGAACTAATAGTGATGACTGTGCTGAAACCAGTGTTTTGTAGCTAAGAATTTGCTCTATCAAATAGTTTATTGCATCAGATGTAGTTTCTATGGATATAAATAGAAGGCATTACTTTTGGAGCAACACATAGCGTAAAAGCACGTACAGGACAGTATGAGAAGGGTTCAGAGACAGAAATAATCCTTCCTGGGGGAACATGTACTGGTCAGTCTGAAGAGACCAAATGCCAGTTCTCTGATGAGACTGACAGAGAATCAGCAAGACCTGCTTGATGCAACTTCCTTCCTCAGACACTAGAATTAGTGCCCCTTGCCAGTGTGCCAAGAGCACCACAGTTTAGCAGACCTCCCTCCTGTGCAAGGGCTGGTACCTTTCACTGGTGGAGAGGTTGAGATGCTGGTGCAGATTCAGGAACATCTCCTTGAAGAAGCACAATCGCTTGCGCTCTGCTTCCTGACAGCCCTCAAATACTTGCTCCATGTCCTCCATGTAGCGGGGATTGTAGCGATTCAGCTCTTCTAGCATCTTCTCATATTGATCCTTGCACTGTATCAACCCAGGAGGAAAGAGAGCTCTGGTTTAAAACATTGCCTGGAAGTCAAGCCTGTGACCCACCACCTCACAAGCACCCTTACAATTGCCTCCTTCCTTACTGTCCTCTTCCACAGAGGGATGTTCCACACTTTGACTCTTAAGGGCAGGCAAGCAACTCACTTTGGGTAGCCAAATCTTCAACTCTGCACTGAGTGAATGCTGCACCAAATCCTCTATTTTTTTCTTCTCAATGTATTTATTAGCGAGATCTTACCCAACAGCAAAGATATCAACCGCTTGCTCAGTCTTAGGTACTGATATCTCAGTCTAACTCACTAAAAATCTTAAAACAGTGAGGTCTCACTACCTGCAAGCCTTCATCAGGAACAGCATCACTAAGTGATAATACAACCAGTGCTTTCTCCTTGAGAGCATTATCCTTATGACCCATATCTATTAAACACACACCTTCTCAGCCTCCTGAGTACACTTCTCAACACGCTCCTGCAACTTGCGCAGCTGCTCCTGTGATACAGAGGAGTCTGCCTTGGCATGATTCTCCCTTGTATGGGCTGTTTTCTCTTCCTTCCGGGCTGCATGATAGTTTTTCTTAGAAGTCTCCACCTGTAAGAGTGATGCAGAGAAAATTATTATGACCACAGAGATCCTCCATTTTTCAGAGAACACAGTAATATTTCATTTCAGTCAGTGGCAATTGTTTCAGGACAACCCAACAGAAATGCCAATTTAATGTTTAGCCAACCATGCTCTAAAGGAAACAGGTACCTCCAAAAGATTTATTTTAGGGCTAACTTGCCATGGAGGAACACCAAACCTGTTACCAAAGCTTTTATCACAAAGGAAGGAAGCTACAAGACCAAGACACCAACTAGGTATCCTTCCCCTGGCATTCTCTGTGAGCACTACCTGGACCACCCTCATCCCTTCTTCCCCATTCACACTTTGCTCACATCTTTCATCTTCTTCACCCAGGGCTTCTGAGCCTTGCGGAACCCATCCTCTGCCTCCTTTGTCTCCTTGAAACCCCCAATTATTTGCTTGTGGTAGGCTTCCTTCTGCCAGGCCTTGATCTTATCTGAATCTTCACCAGCCAGGTGGTTCCTGACAACTAAGTGAATCTCACTTAGTTTGTCTGCGGCTGTCAAAAATGCATGCCAGGCCTTCTCCAGGGTGCCGTACTGTGGACCTGCAAGAACAAGCACCAGAGACACACTTATACCTCCCCTGCCCCTAGACAAAAAGAAAAAACAACACAAGAAACATTATTTTTCTCCTACGTGTATCTCTTTGAGGTCACTTTCATAACTCTACATCACAAATCAGCATAGACTTGGTCTCCATACAGTCCCCAGAAACACCATCTAGACTGGCTGTCACAGCTGCCTGATAGAGGCACTTCTTTTGAGCAGCCTTCACCACCTCAGGCAGTGCCTACCAAGAAAGAGCTTCTGTATGAAGTCTTCTTCACGTATCTGGCCTGAGCTTCAGTTTGTGCCACTGAAGTACAGTACTGTTGTTATTCTTTCACCAGAGGAGAAAGATGGGTAACAGCTGAATTATTCTTAAAATGGGAGACCTCCAGCTTGATTTAAGGCTTGGACTGGCTAATGACTTATTAGACTAAGTAACCAAAGTATCTAACAGCATTGAGAAAGAAGGCTTCTTAAAGTGAATTAAAGGGTAGGAAAAAAAAGTGATAGTCAAAGAATTTACCTCCCTTCCTGTAGGTGGGAAGCCTGTCCCACAGCCTCAACTCAGCAAGACAGACCACTCCAGGAACAGAGTGCAATTACTACATCCTGTTCCCAGCTCAACCTGCCAGATTTACCTTTCTCCACATTGGTCCTCCATTTTCGGGACCACTCTGTTAGCTGCTGGGCATAGTTCTTCTCTATTTTGGCTCGCTCCTGGAAGCAGGAGATTAAGTCATTGCAGAGCCGGTAGCCATCATCCACCCGCTTCACTGTCCGCCTGTAGTTTCCAGCCTGAAATTTCACAAAACATTTATATTGTACTGATGTTCATACTCCTTCAGAACAGATAGCAGCAGGCCAAGCATCACAGTGAAAGGGAGCACCAGCTCTCTTGAAAGCAGCAGCTTGGCTCAGACCTGCTGCTGGCACTCTGATCTCAGATAGACAGAGTAGTGGAAGGAGTAAGCAGAGATGCTCTGCTTACCTCTCGCTGCTCAGATCAGTATCACCTGTACAAGAACCTCCCTACAGTTCCTCCCTTCCACTCCCTAAGAGCAACATGTCACTCATAAACATGAAACTCAATCCCTTAATTCCACAGATGGAAGGTAAGATGACATTCCTACCTCCCTCACACCCCAATTATCTTTCCTTACCTCCCAGAAACTACCCTCAGGAGCCTCCCCACCGGCATCATCTTCTGATGACATCACACCCGTTTTCTTGCAGCAGAGAATTTTTGCAGATTTTAGTTAAGCTGCTAGGAGCTTAACTAGGAGCTGTTAGGAGAGAAGGAAAAACTTTTTAATATGGCACTGTCTGAACCTTTGCAGAGACTATGGTTCTCCATGACTTAGCTAGAGAAATCTCAGCGTCCTGCAGACAAGCACTGCCATCACTGCACCTCCAGCAGCAGATGGCTGTATATGGTAGAAATGCCCAAGATTGAGTCTGCCTGCTGTTTCCCGCCCTGCAGAGGAACAGCCTCCTTGGCAGCCCAGGAGCACATTTGGAAAGAATGTTGCAGAAGACCATCTTGCCAAACCTCAGCTGTATGAATCCCAGAAATGCTGGTGAATCCAACATTTCTCAGCAGCAGTCACCTCTGCAGAGATTCTTTTCTTCACCAAGGCTCACAGAATGGTAGCAAAAGCTACAGAAATGGAGATAGCTAGAAACAACTGAAGTCCTCTGTCATAAGAGGTGACTCCACCTTCCCAGTGTGAGATTCAGAATTACAGCTGACTGGAAATAGTGATGCTGAGCAGTCAGGCATGTCTTGAATGGGGAGGAGCCCTACAGATTGCCCATTGGCTGAGTTGGGCTCAAGTAGAACTATAGAAATATGCTGAAGCAGATCCAGCTACAAGGCACTACAGCATGCATGCCAGTTACTCATCCATGCCACTTCCCTAGAAATATCTCTGTAAAGCTGGCACAGCCCACCACTACACTAGGGTCAAAATCCAGGCAAGGAGTTGAAGTGTGTTTCTCATTCTGTTGTCTCTTTTGCCCATTTCCCTTGTGCAAACCTGCGCTGCATTCTGCTCCTGTCAGGGTGCAACACCAAATATCCTGAGAAAGCTTCCGGGATGATCTTAGGCAAGAGCAAAGAATAATGAAAAGAGACTCAAGTATTGATACTCATATATGAACCCTCTCCATTCTAGGCAAGCTTGGGTTAATCTACCATAGATGTCCTTTGCTGCCACTTCTCCTCTTGCACATTCCTAGTTATAAAAAGCTTTCTTCACACCCCAGAGAGGTATCTGGTCATTCTGCCAGCCTACAGAGTACACAGCAGAGATGAAGAAAATCACATCAAGGGTCTGCATCGCCCACATCTTTAAAGTCCTTTCCAGTATGCCTACTATAGCATGAGCCACATCGTGAAGAGTCCTAACAAAGACTGCAGGAATTTCTTCCATTTCTTCTGGCAACAGCCTGGCTCTGTTTGCAGTCTCATTTTACTGACAGTAGGAAGTATATTAACGCTGCTCCAGAAGGCTGAAGTGATGAATGTCAGTCACAGAAGTTGTTAAATAGAATGTAGTGCTCAAATGCATGAGCTTTGAAGCTTGCAATACAACTTCACCCATGCCACCACCTGTTCCCATCCTCCCTCTCCCCACCATTCCTCAGAGGGCTGCAAAGCCATCTTACTGGTTTCCAGGACATGCAACTCCACATTAGTCCCCAGTAGCGACATACCTGAAAATGAGATGACAGGGGAGCAGCAGGAAGCTGGCAACTACGTCCTGAGCTCAAATTCTGTAAAACAGACTGGAGAGGAGACAGATGGGCACAGTTAGATAGCACTGCTTCGCTGCCTGTTCTGACACATCCCAATCCCAGCATAGACATGAGAGTGTCCCCCTTCTGCCAGCTACTAGGAGGGGCACCCTCTGATATAGCAGCTGCAGCCACTGTGCCTCCTAAGATGCCACGTTCCAACACGTAGGAGAGATGCCAGATCGCTGTGTCACAAGATCTAGCCCCAGAGGAAGTTAAAATAGAAACACTGGGCGGGATGACAGCACTGTGCAGGAAAGGTAGCATCACAACAGCTGAGCAAAGGGAACTGCCCAAGGCAAGAAGGGCCTAAAATAAGCACATTTCCTGGACATGGTATGTGGGGCCTAACCCCCCCCTCACTGTATACTGTCTGGTTTGGGAAACCCACTGCCTCCACATTTAGGCTTAGCAAACTTCAGGAGAAGGAGGACAGACATATACCTTCTCCAGACCATGTTCAGTAAAGATGAAGGGCATCTATCTATGAACCAAAGGACTCTCACTTTACAATTAAAAACAAGCTTGCTTTCTCTTCATGGAGAGTGATCAATTAGTTACAACCCATGAAGGCTGTATCACTTTTTCCATCTTTCCCTCCCACTCTCCCTCATCCCCACTTCTTTATCAGGAAGCAGTGAATCACAAACATGCCTTCCATCTCTTGTTTCCAGTTCAGGCTGACTATACAGTCCTAGAATTCAGGGTTAAAATTGGAAAACTTGTGTCAGAGTGTGCTTGTTTGATAGATAGTCAATAAGAATGGAGGAATTCGAATCCATTCTTTCTGCTATTTTCATGTTCAAGTTGGAAACAAAGAAGTTGGGAATGATCTAAAGAAATGGTGAGAAATTAAATTTCTGCCATTTCCACATTACATGTGAGATATGCTTCCTTATTTTATCCAAATTACAAGCCCAGGTAACTGGGTTTACTATGCCTGTGATTAGCAAGTTCTGAAACATAATAGTAGCAGTGCTGAATGAGACTGAGTGTTCTTGTTGCCCTATATCTTTCACAGACAGTAGCCAAAAGCAGGTATTTTCCCCTGCTCTGAGAACAGAGCAAGCATACACGATGCCTCCCTGCATATTTTCCAAGCCTCTAACCATTTGTTGACAGGAGCTTCCTGAGCTGGATGTGGCACCAATGAATTTAGAAACACTCAATGCATTTCTCTTCCACTAACTTCTCCAATCTCATACGAGTTTTCAGCATCAACAATATCATGTGGCAAAGCATCCCACAGCTTAAGGCTCAACTTGGAACCATCACAGTAGCTAGGTGGCAGAATTAGAAAAAAGCAGTATAATATTTCTGCAGGTCTGTCTCCATGTCTCAAGTAGCACGAATACACATTTAAAAAATGTTTATGTAGACTTTACAGAAGCCCAGGAAAAAAAAAAAAAAGTCCTGAAAGATGGAAAAAGGTCAAAAAAAATAAGGAGGACCCTTTTCTGCCAGACTTTTTCTGGACTTTACATAGCCCATGAGCCCATGTCAGTCAGCAGATCAAATTGGATCTCCATGAAGACACAAGGAAGGTACTTAGTAGTACACAGAAGCTGAAGAACAGCTGCTGCTGTCACCCTCAGCCCAAGAAGAGCAAATAGATTGCCACTCCACTCCCTCATGCCTCGTTATTCCTGAAACATATGTGTTGTGCGCTGCCAAGAGCCCAAAACCAGGGAAAAATTGAGTTTGCCAGGAAAAACAAATAGAGAAGCATTACACATACCAAAGCCTGAGGCTTGTTTTATAGCAAGGTATAGAGATGACAGTACTACCCTATGCACAGCTGAATGCAGCAGAAGTCACCATGTAATTCAGAAATGCTAACAGAGCCTGCACAGGACAAGCAGTATAGCTGGAGTTACCTGTGGATCAGCACCGAGACATTCTGATGTCACTGTCACCTACCTGAGAAGAGGCTAACAACAAATCTGCACAGCTAGAGGAATGTTTATCCTTCCCCTCCTGCTTTCCTTGTTCACATCTCACAGATAAAAAACTGCAACTCCTCCAAGACAAGTTCTCTGAAGGAGGAGTGACCTCTTCTCCAGTCACTTTGCACCTCTGCAGAGTTACAAATGAGGGCACCACTGGCACTGCTACAAACAGCAATGTCACGTAGACAAAATAGATGATATAAATGATGCTTATGCAGAGCTACAGCCTTTGCTGCTAGCAGTGCTAAAAAAAAAAAAAGATACTCTCCTACTTCCCTAGAGATCTACTTTCATTTATGAACAGCATAGTAAGTTATCCAAAAGTGACTCTCAATCTTCAGCTGCAGGAAAGCAGAATGGCTCATGACTGATTCACTGGTGCTGAGCTCCACTGAGAGAAATGCCACTTGTCATGGCAGAGCTGTTTCCACATTTAACTGTGCTGATCTCACCCTGCTACAGTCAGTCACGCATCCCAGACCAAAATTCCCCACCCTTAGACCAAGGTGTCACTCTAAAACTCTCTGCTTTCAAATGCATGCATCTGGGAAGGCACTACTTGTTTTTGTTTCAAGTTTACACAACAGTAGTACAACAGGGTCTTGTTCCACAATTACAGTGCCTAGACTGGATAGTAATTACTCTTCTCAACTTCAGAAACTTTTCCCTAAGGCAGGTAAACCACAAAAATCTTCTTCCCTCTAAACCACACTCCAGCATTTCCAGGCTCCAGCGCCAAAGGCATCACTTCTGTGCACTGCTTGACTGCCTCCTGAGACTGACTCCCTCTAAGAAATTGTTCTCTTAAGTTTGCCAAGAAGCAGCCTCTGGGCCCTACAAATCCTCACAGGGCTGGTGCGTGCAGCCCTGCAGGAATTTGTCCACACACAGCAACAGTTTGTTCACTTGCCAGGCAAGGCCTTCTGCCCGACTCTTTCCCCTTTTCCTGAGTACAAGCTTAAGCACTGAATTCAGGCAGACAGAAACAAGTTTGAGTTCCATTTATCCACTAACCAGGGCTTTGGCAGAAGGAGATTTTTATTATGGACCAATTTCTATGTGTTGCTTAGCTTTAACACCTAGTTTTAATTAGGAACAGGCTGTTAATAACTAATTTCTCCCTTGAGAAAACAATAACACCACCAAGGAATCGTGTTTGATTCCTAAAGAGTCACCTTTCCTGTATGCAGGCAGTGGTAAAGGTTTCATTTTCTCTCCAGGGCACTTCCAGAATAGATTGCCAATAAACACTTCAATCTCAACAATGCAAACACACAGAAGTACTGACACCACCACCTCCTTCATAGAGCAGCAGGCACAAAAACCCTTCGTTTTCTGTTAACTGGTTTCAGAAAGAAACTAGAAGTCAGGAGGAACTACAGGATTCCATCAGCACAATGAACAGCATTGCTGCTGGTACAGCAGTGCTAGGAAGGTCCTGATGGAAAGAATGAAACAGAGCATGGGACAGCGTTTCCTTTCCAACCTCCCCATCCCCACAGGTAGGCACCCAATAGTTAAACTCACTGATTTAGAGCTATGTCCAACAAAGTGCTCTCTAGTGGTATAACACAGGAACACTGATATTTACAGGTGTGTTCACCTCTCTGAAGAGGGGCCAGTTCATCTTTACAGCTAGAGACTGCCAACTAATATAGATCCTCCAAGAAGCCTAAGATGACTTCTACCCAGCAAAACATCCCTTAGAGATACTTATCCTACTGCTGTGATCACACCCTTGGTAGGGTCACCTGACTGGTAAACAGACGGCAAACCAGCATTTCCCAGCCACTCCCTAAGGACTGACGCCTACCAGGACCGCCTAATGCAGTTTTGAGAAAGACTTCAGATGATCTCTCCAGGCAGGGAGAGGTCAGAGGGCCATCAGGCAGAACAGTAACTGCACACAAAGGTCACTTCAGCTATGTGCAAGCCTATTAACAGAAGCTTGTCTCCAAAACAATAATTCTCTAGAGACTGCGTAGCTGACCATTAGCAAAGTTCTTGGCTATATAGAAGTATTAAAATACAGACAAGATCCTCATCCTCTTAGAGGAGGAGGATTCCTTTAAGTCTGCATGATGTTTCACTGCACTGTCTGGTTTCACCTTCTTTATATTGGTCTCCTCCAAATTCAGGCCAAGCTAATATCCTGTAAATAGATGTCCCGCTATACCCTTTCTCCCCTTTTTTTTTTTGGTTTAACTCTTTATTTTTTTACATGTTCAGACAGAACAAAGTACCTTCCATATCCATTAGCTACTCCCTGTTCAGTTCTCAGAGGCCAATGCTGCAGGACAAGCTTCTGCCAACACATCATTGCTGATATAAAGGTTAAGATTCCTAACCAACATAGCTGCACCAGGCAGAAACCACTCCACCAAGAAAAGTTTCCTTTTCTACTCTCATAGGATTAGGAGATCTCTAATGTTAAAGGAACACAGATCTGTCCTGGTTAACATAACAGTATGAGATAATATTAATAAAAGACTGTGTTGGGCTATCAAGGTCCTTGCTATTTTTTCCTCAAAGTTGTTCTTCCTATGAGAAAGTTTGCTTATAATTGCTGTACGTTTACAACAGTTGCTGGAATAATCTTGACATGCATGCTGCAGCTATATTTAACAGGCAGCTTCAAATAAGAGCAGAGGAGAGCTTCATAAAGAGCTACCAGAAACTGCACTACACTAGCCTGATTTCTTAGTTTAGTGAACAGCATAGGACCTGTTTCACACAGTCAGCTTGCCTGCTTCCCAGTTCTCACAGAGCCAGAGAAAGCACTGACAGAGTAAGGTGTTAACCCATGCAGACAGTGCCTCCAAGCTCAACTGCCCCTCTCTCCAAGTCTTCAGCTGCTTGCTTTCACACTGCCTACTTCCTATCCTGTTGCATCAGTCTCTGCAAATAGATGCCAAGCTTGCCAGCAAATTCGTGCATCAGCAACTCACTTTTGTTGCTATTCTCTTCTGCTTAACTGTTGTAAATAAGCTATTTCTTCCTAAATTGCTTAGACCCCAGTAAAAGCTGTTATCTCTTCTCAACAGTCTCAATATGCACTAAATTCAAACAGTTTTACCCAGTATTTAATCTACTTTCACCTGATCACATATTTTTCTGCACCCTAGACAAAATCAATAGTCCATCCTGTAGAACAGTTGCCTGTAACTTAAGGTATCTCTGATCACAACAGCAGGCTGAGGCAGTTCTCCCATTTCCATTCAGGCTTTAAGTACAGTTGTTTTTTGTTTAGAACTTTATGTGAAAAACAATGATCCAAACTCCATCCTCATCCAACGCAGAGTAAAGAACAGGGGAAATACTAGGGTACTGTCTTTTCTCAACTACACGAAACTGTGGCTACTCCATGTCAGTAGAGCATTCTCCTCCTGTGATTGAGAATCTTGTAACCCCAGAGCAAGGATCAAGTTTACTTGAATGTATTAAGAAGTCTTAAGGTAGCAGTCATTTGCAATCAAGCAACCTTCAGAAGAGGCCAATTAACTCCATTCTAGTACTGAGCTTTCAGTGGTTCCTTGCTTCAGGACTGCATAGTAGACCATAATCTCCAAACAACTGTGCCTCCTCCTTCCTTCCATTTGAAAGTAGCACTTTTTTTTTTTTAAAAGCCCAGCTGCAGTTCTACATACCTCTATATATAAGTAAATTCTTTGCTTCACTCTACCAAGACCTAGAGTTCTGCTTGCCTCTTAGAAGGGGGAATGGGATATGAAGTTGGCAAGCAACTTGCCATTTTGATAAAATATACAGAATCACATGCCCAGTGACTTCAAAATACAACATTTCTTCATCTCTGGTTGTGTCAAGAAGGTATCTGGGTTTCCCTGGTAAAAGCTAATGTACTGGAACTGTTTATTAGAAAGAATCGTAAAATCATTTAGGTAGGAAGAAAGACTCTTGAGATCACTAAGTGCAACCATCAATCTAACACTTCCATGTCCACCACTAAAACATGTCCCCAAGCACCACATCTCTTAAATATCTCCAGGGACATTGTTTTCACCCCTTCCCTACTCAGGCCATTCCAATAGCTGATCACCTGATATTCACAGAGAAGTTTTTCCCAATATCCAACCTAAATCTTGCCAGCTCAACTTGAGGCTGTCTCCTCACATCATATCACATCACCTGAGAAGAGTGAGTGATACCCTCCTCACTGCAGCCTCCTCTCATGTAGTTGTGGATTGATGAAGTCTTCCCTCAGCCTTTTGTTCTCCGGGTTAAACAACTCCAGCTCCACATTTCTTCTCTAGTCCCTTCATCAGCTTTATTGCTTTGATGAATACTCCTGTTCCAAATATTCATATAATGCAGGCAAGGACCTAAAAGATCATCAAGATGTTTCTAAGTTCATTCAATTCCCTGCTCAGTCCCAAACAGGCCCTACAGAAAAGAATACTAGCAGCTTTTTCAACAGCACGTGGGAATAAGGTAAGATTCAGTACTAGGATCTCTCTTACGTTAGAGGAAGAGGTAAAGCATCATATTCATTTTTTTCTAGTTTATGTTGTGGGCAGTTCCTCCACTTTGCTGAGTGGCTCTTTGCTCACCTTTTGCCAAAAGAGCTAGGTTTACTTAATTTCTTCCTCACAGGAAAGCCTAGGCAACATAAAGATGTAACTGTAAGGCAAGACTCATATATACACAACATAAGGGTAAAGCAGACTCCAGTATCATATGAAGTGGCAAGACTATTTGTATGCAGTTGCGTAGGGTTACTTTGCAGAGTTTTTTTTTTTGGGGGGGGGGGGGGGGGAAGAAAACGTTGTTTGCTTTGGGGAGTAGAGAGAATATTCATTCCCTTCCAAGCAACTCCAGGTTCTAGAAGCTTATAGCATATTTAATCACTTCATAGTCCATTTCCAAAGATAACTATATGACATTCTCTAGAAATAAGCATTGAAAACAAGGCTGAAAAAGGGCAGCCATTAAGAATTGGCCTGCAATGTGAGTATTTGTACTTTGCCCATTCTCCCTGGAGATCCTTGCTCCAACTTTTATCTTCTTTCATATTAACTGCACAGAATCTGGTGTTTGGTTTCAGTCTCTTCAGCCTTTTTCAAATAAATTTTTAGATATCAAGCTGAAGAACAAGTCTATAAATACCTTTCATATTTCAGGTTTTAGCAACAAAATCCCACGAGAATACAAGAGAATGTGACAGTCAGTGAAAAGTGCATATATTACAGAACAGATTTCAATTGTTGAGCATCACTGGAATGTCATTTGTTTCCACAGCACAGATAGAATCATATAGATTTCAGTTTCTGATCCTCAGAACCCAAACTGACATGCGAGGAAAGCACATCAGTAATGTTAAAAAAAAATAAAAATAAAATCAGAGCACAAACAGAGCAATCTCCCCCTCGTGGCTTCCAGAAGCAGCTCCTACCCCACAGCTCAAAAAATTAGGTTTTTTTTGGTTGTTGTTTGTGCTGGGGTAGAAGCCTGCTGGAGTCAACATCCAGATTTCACAGATGTTACCAGGCAGTGGGGTAAGCAGTGCTGGTACAAGAAAGGGCTGACTGAAAAACACCAAGAAACAAGGAAGTATTTACAATCATTCAAGAAGTGAAATATACTCATCTTCTCTCAGTCCTCAATGAAAGTTTCTTGTCCTTGTCAGAGCCAGGCATCAAGCCTATTTGCTCTGCTCAGCAAATGCAAGAGAGGCTTGTCTCAGCAGCAAGGATACTGAGGGAGAGGAGAAAGTTAATGCCCCCAGATAATCATTTATAGGTGACTGAAAAAGTTGACCACGTCCCCAATAGCCCAGGAGGCAAGTACCATACCTTCCTGAACACAGACAAGACACAGCTTGGGCACACTTATAGCATGAACAGAGCTGAAGAATTGCTGACAGTTGTGTTGTCTCAGCAATTCTAACTCTCTTAGCCTAGAAAAATTGTCTGACAGGTCACGATAAACAATTGTAGTACAGGAGAACACAAAATCCTCACAAGCTTAATGCCTCTGAATACAGGCCCGCGCTACTAGAGAGATCTCCCACATACCCCTTCTGTACTCTGCAATGCTTGGTGACAACCACTAGATTTAACAAACAAATTCCAACTATCACAAGTGTGAAAGGCTCTTTCTCACTGTGCCATTCTGACAGGAACAACCACTGACATTGGAATATGATTAGGATGCCAGTCACACGTATTGCCTCACAGCAGTATCCAGCCTCAGCCCACATTTCAGCTTGGAGGAACATGGAAGCTGTTGTACCAGTCACCAAAACAAAGCAGGATGATTACAGCAGGGGACACGCCAGACTCTCTGCACTGACTTTACACTATCTGCTGGAAAAGTTTCTCCCCCATGGCCAGAAAGTATTTGGATGTTAATTAAACTTAGTGATCACCATGCCACAAGGTAGCAGGCAAAAAAAATTGCCACCTGAACAGCTTCTGAACTGCTCTAAAAGATGCAGAGCTCTTCTGCTACTTTTCAAAGAGCTAAAGCCCAAATTCTCCGTGAAAAACTCCAGGTATACTAGTCACACTTTCTCTCATCCACTACAGCTTTTTCTATTTAATTCTCTGACACAACTCCCTGTTAGACAGCACCATCTACACCCATCACACTAAATAAGTGGTGATAAAATAGTTTGCCTGATCAAAAAGTCTGTTCTAGGAAGATAAGAGCCCCTTAAAGGGCTTGAGCAGCTCTGCTATTGTTTAGGCATTTCCCCATGAACTCTCATGAGCAGCCTAAATTCACATATTACTGATCAGCTGATGGAAAAAATAGAGGCAGTTTATTATTGCTCTCTAATCAAGAGCATAGTTTTTTCCACTCAGGCTGTAGGCAGACGCTTTTAGCTTCTGAGGTCCCCAGTTCAATTCCTGGATGGCAGCCATCACACGAACCAAACAGTTCAAGCCCTTGAGATGGCCAGAATAACACATATACAGTATGTGCCACCTTGAAATACAATAAGAGCTTCTAACAGAAGTTCATCATGCCCTCATGTTGTGTCCAATCTGTTCTCGGTTTTGTAGTTCTCTCCAAGGAACAGTAGTCACATTAGAAATATACCTGACTGTACCTTTGAATTTGTTTCTAGATTTTTTTTTTTTTTTGAAGCTTGTGCTTATCCATGGTAAGATCAGAAGTTTCAAGCTAGTTCTCATAACTCACAACAACCCAGAATGACTAAATGCATCAGTCACTGTCCTGGGGAGAACTCAGTCTGGGCTCTCAAGATTTTCAGGCTCTTAAGACCTGGTTATGCACACAGTTTGCCAAGGACCTGCAGCATGTCAGCCCAGCCCATGCAACCCTTATTCACTTATTGAAGTCCGATAGTGGAGCTTCAGGCAACAGCCGTACCTGGCTGACAGTGACATTACCACTTCTCACAGCCTGAGAAGTGAGACAGTATTTGTAGAACAAGTGCAAGCAAGCCACAGAAGCTCAAACACTTGGGAGAAGAAAAAAAAACAAAAACCCAGAAAGAGCCAATAAAACAATCCAATACAGTGGGCACAGTAGGAAAGGCAGGAAACAAGTAGTCCGGCTCACAGCCATTCTGTTCAGAGCTGCAACTGGAAGTACCATCTAGTAAGTATTTTAGGAGACTCCTTACGAGGCACTACAATTAACACAAAACTCTGTCAAAGAGCAACAGATCGCCTTGCAGAGTACAGCATACACCTCACAGAAAGGTGAATCCTGCCCAAAAAAGGAATGTGCTCGGTTACGTAATGCACAGGGAGAAGCTCCATTTTGACTCCACCCAGAAAGCAGCTCACCTGGAGCGAGGAGCAGCTGGACCCTGTCATTTTAGCCCACACACTGCAGAGGTGCATTCTGCTCCCATTATGTACCGAGAAACATTTCAGTTGTAGTAGGGCTCAGTGACATCTGAATTCCAGGGTGGAGTGGGAGGCTCTGCTAGGACTCTGCATCACAATCAATCACTATAGTATCAGAAATTCCTTCGTGCAAATTAGATTGGCATTGAAGCTGAAAGGAAGAGGCTCACGTCTCATTGCTGAAAACTGGGAGCACCCACTGAGCACGGAGCTCACAGTGCAAATGAAGAGGCCACAGCATGTGTCCAGAGGTGGCCAGCTAACCTCCTCCTCACCCTCCCGCCTGGGGAAGACGCAGAGCTTTTAGAACTGAGGCAAGCAGAGAACACATAGTTGGCACAGAAAGTTGTGAAACTGGTTAACGCATTTGGGCCACGCTAACTTCACTTATTGATGGTCTCGTGGAGATGGCAGATCCCTCCTCCTGCGAGCAGCAACAAATCACAGACCGAGCGCCGGCTATTCAGGCCCACTAATACCTCCGCGTTTATCAGCTTTCTCCCGCCCAGGGCAGGCAGGACACGGTAACCCCAGCGGCGTGCCGCAGCCCGGCACCGCCCGGCTCTGCCCGCAGCGACACCGAGACCGCAGCCTCCCGCCGGGCGGGGAGCGAGAGGACAGCAGGGCCGGGGCCGCCCCGCTCCTCGCGGCGGGCTCACGGCAGGGGGACGGCGAGAGCCACCCCCCCGCGCCCGGGCCCCAGCGAGGCCCCTTCCCCCGGGAAGCCGCTCTGCCCCTCAGCCACGGCGCCGCCAGAGCCCGCGGCTCCAGTTTCAGAGTGGGAAGCGGCCCGCGGCGAAGCCAACACAAAGGGGCCCCTGTCCCCGCCGCGGAGCGGAGGCGTCGGCTGCGGAGAGAGGCGGGCGGGGAAGCGGGAGCGGGGCGGCCCGCCGAGCCCCCAGCGGTGCGAGCCGCCGGGCGCCCGATGAAGGTCAGATCGGCGGCCGGGCAGCGCGGGGCTCCGCCGGGAGCCTCCCCCAGCCGCACGGCAGCCCGCCGAGCCTCGCCGCGCCCGCAGGCAGCGCGTCGCGCAGCCGCCTCCTCTCCACGAAGAAACTTTTCCCTCGCGGCAGCCGCCGAGCCGCCAGGAGCCCCAGCGCTCCGCACAGAGCCGGCCCGGCAGGAGACACCTCGCTTACCTCGCCGGCAGCACGGTACGGCGCGGCCCGGCGGTCAGCAGGCACCTGGGCCGAGCGGGACGGGCCCTCCCCTATTTCAGCCGCGGGACGCGGGGGCTCCCGCCCCGCCCCCAGCAGCTGCCGGCAGGGCGGGCCCGGCGCTGGGGGCAGCCCGCTGGCGGCGGGGCAGCGCCGAAGAGGCTCCCTCCGCTCCGCCCTCTCCTGATCCAATTAACGGGCCCTGCCCGGGCAGGTGGGGTCGGGCTGGGGGGCGGCGTTCTCCCTCGGTGCCGGGAGCCGGGTGACCGGGAGCCGCGTGGGACGGCCGGGAGGGGACGGGGCCTCGCTCGTAGGAGGCGGGAGGTGCCGGGCCGAGCGCCCCCGTCATGGCGGGCGCCTGAGGGGGTGGGAGGCGGCTCTGTGTGGAGGCCGGAGGCTCCCTGAGCCCCGATCTCCTCGGAGCCCGTCCCTGGGCTCTGGATGAGGCGCAGGCCGCTCTCTGGAGGCGGGCAGCAGCTTCAGCGCGGCGGTCCGTCTCTCGCAGGGCTGACTGTTCGCTTTCTCCTCTGGAAACCTTTCCCTAAGTAACCCAGACTCATCTTTCAATGTCCCGGTCGAAGCCAGCTTTTTCGCAGTACCGGGGGCTGCGGGCCAGAGTTTCCATCCCCAGCGCCAGGCCTGGGTGGGGTTTGCCATGACGCTGGGGCAGAGCTCACAGCGGAGCTGCAGGGCCGTGCTGGCCCCTCTCACCGCTTCCAAAAGTCCTCAGACCTGGCTCCAGGGACCGGCTGTGCGCTCGTGGTGATGTTTATTCAATCAGCAGAGAAAGGAAAGAGTGAGAGAGGGAAAAGGGTGCTATAAATCTGCACTCTTGCCTCTGGAGTCTCTTCCCAGTGGGACTGAAAAGGCTTGTCTGGTCCTTGAAGTTAATCAGTGTTAAGGTTTAAGCATAACTCTGTATTTCACTTAATATTAAAAAAATAACTTCTTTGGCATAGGTATTTCCTAATTCAAATATGAGATATAAACACCACTATCAAATTTATGTAGACTAATGGGGTATAGGAAGAGCAAAAAAATCTGCTATTCCTTAATACTCTATACCAGCGTTTACTCAGCTTTATGTTATACCAGTTGTGGTACAGATACCTCGTGCACTGAGCATCTGAGATAATGCTTTCCACATGGGGTCTGCCTGCCCCCAGCACTAAGTGGCAACGGTACTGTGTGACACTGCTGCTTTGCTCCTTTCCCTCCTTCCCTCTAAGGCTGGAATATTGTAATATGGTTATTACAATAGCAATATTTTTTTTATATTTTTTTTTTCCTGGTCCAGGACAGCTTAGTAAAGATCATAGGCTAGAAAGAGGCCAGATAGCATGATGCTCATTCTCTTTGCTCTCTTTGGGATTGTATCTTTTTCCTTTTTTTCTTTCTTTTTTTTTTCATTCTTCTTTTTAGCAGAATGTAGGCTTGCTTGCTTATGCAGGCCAAACTCAAGTTGTTGTAATGGCACTCTTTACATCACAGTCAGACTAAAGTAGCCAAAAATGTTCGTGCTTTGGAAAAAGGTCCTGGCAACAAGGAGGCAAAATACCATCCAGTATTACAAATACCACAGAGATGACAGTTTTAGTCACAATATAGCTTTACCAGAGCTGGCAACAAGATGTCTTAATTCTGTGATAGAGAATTGAGGTCTGTAACTGACTGTATGTTGGACAGAAGGGATTGTGAAAACAAGCCTTGTACCCTGCCCGAGGGTAATTACACCCCTCTACCTTGGCTGCATTCAGGAGTTTGAAGAGTGTGAGAATATGCACACATGTGAGAATATTCTTTTAGAATTACTCCTTCCCTGGGCATCTCAGAGTGCCACACCTGCTCAGTGCTGGCACGCCGATACCAATTGGTGGCACCCTGGGCCGGTGGCGTGTCTTCTGTGCATGGTTTGTGATCTACTATTCTTGTCCTTAGTGAATAATGATTACAGAAATAATCTGATGACTCTCCAGAAAGAGCAAGCTCAGTGTTAGTAATTGATAGAAAATGCTAACCACGACAGCTCAGTGAGGAAACACAAGGGCTGCTGTGCACATTTGCTGTGTGGGGAAGCAAATGAACACGAGGATGAATGGGATGGGAAATGCACATCTCTGCTCAGATGAGCTGGGTCACAGCATCACAGCTTGCTTTGGGATTAATGGGTAGATCACTGAAAGCAACGTGAGGATTTCAGTGTTTCTGGCACAGAAATGTACCCCTTGTAAAGTATGTGAAAAACTAAAGATGTTCAGGTTTATGCCGTTTACTTGGTGATTTCTGATCAACTCCCCAGATCCCGGCCCTGATGTCGAGGCCCTGTGCACACCTGTGGCAGCACTGCTGACTGCCATCAAGACAAGGAGGATATTTTTCTGCAACAATTTAATTTCCCGTAAACCAGGCCTTTGTGGCACCTGAGGAAAGCAGGTGAGGACTACTTTTAATTACTGCCATTGCTACTTCTTGGTGGTGGGCGCAGCTCTCAGAAGGGTGCTGTGCTGCTGAAGCGCTGTGTACGAGCTGGCGATGCCAGTCAGGTTGGTGTATGCCTTCAAAACCCGGTTGTGTTGTCTGCTGGTGGGTTTTTGTAGGTCATTCTGACAGCTGCAGGATGCCAGCAGCTAACACAGCGTTGTTGTGGTTCAGCAGAAAAGCCTGGAGATTGGCTCTTCGTCGTACTGCCGGCGAGCCCTGCCGAGCGGGGCCGAGGGGCTCCGTGGCCGCCGCCTCCGGGCCCCCGCTCCGCTGCCGGGGCCGCCAAGCCGCTGCTCCCCCCACCCCGCTCCCCGCCCCGGTTATGAAACCTCCGGGGAGGGGCTGGCTGCCGCCCGCCGTCCTCGGCGGCACCGGAGAAGGAGGCCGGGGGAGCGCAGGTGAGAGCGGGGCGGCCCTGGGGAAGCCCAGCGGTGCGGGGATGGGAACTTGCACTGCGGTTACCGCGGCCACGTCCGCGGCAGTCGCTCGCGACTCTTTAAGAAGTGCTCTGCGCCCATCCGCATCGAGGAGAAGAGCCGGGCAGGGCCCTCCGCGGTCTGTGGGCCCATGGCGAGGAGCTGCCGGTCGCGAGCGTGTCCAGCGCTCAGAGCAGGAGCCCGAGCCGCGTATCGGGCTGTGAGCGGCCGCTGGGTAGGAAGTGTCGTCTGAACACGTGGTGGAAAAGCAGTCAGCCTTGACCGGCTTTGTAACGGCTCTGATCTCTTTCTTAGCGGAATCTGGAGAGCTTGCTGTGAGCCACCAGAGAAACAGTCGGGCATTATGTGGTTGCACAGATGTACTTTATGCAGATCTGTGGGTTTCAGGCTAAAACGTTCTGTAGAAGCACATCTGTCAAAACATACTCTAGTGTTTTAGGATGCATTCGTTTTCATGTGGGAACAAAGAAGAGCTTATTGAACCTGTTCCTTTCCCCAGCAGTGCGCAACAAAAAGCTACTGTCATCCCGATGAAAGGGGCACCAGGTACAGTTGCTGCTTCCAGGCCACTGGGGTGTGCTTCGCGCCCTTTTTCCTCTGTCTTCTGTGTATGGCAGTCTTACCTTCCGTGCTTTGTTTGCTTTTAGTGGTCAGACAGAATGGCTCCAGTGAACCAGCCCAAGGACAAGAAGCATGAAAAGACACATGAGCATCGGTCAGAAGAGGCAAAATCGGCTGGGAAAAGGAAACTGGACTGTGAAGGACTAGAGAATGTGCCACTAGCAAAGAAATTGTTTTTGAGGAAAACATCCAAAGCCCAAGAGAAAATTGGTAACGTTTCCTCAGGTTCTTACTCCCAGCCAGATTTACCCTAAATCCCAGGCATTAACTAGCTGAAGAGAGAGGATGCCAAGAAACATGCTCAGATGTGAGTTTTCAGATAGGGCCATGTGTTGGAGGTATAACACGGACTGCACTGGGGTAGTACATCCTCCAATTGTCTGTCTAGTTGCACTGTGTCTTTGTACACAAATCTCGTTTTTGAGACTGTCCCTTGATAGAAGCCTGCTTACTGATAATACTGTCACAGCCCACTCCAGAGTGGTTAAGTTCCATGGAATTTCCAAATTAGCAGACATCTGCTTTAGTGTAGGACAGACTGACTTTGGCCACGTATCATTCTTTCTCCCATGTAGTTCTTAATGCAATTTCATGGTCGTAAGTTTGGTGTTCTACAGCATGCAGTCTAAACTGGCATTTCCACCTAATTCTTGTGTATTCTAACTTTCTAAAGTAAGAAGGTATACTAAATACTTTCTGCCTCTGTGTTCAGATTAGACTGGACAGAATTTCCACTAATCACTTCTCATGTTCTTTTTTTTTCCCTCTGATTTGTAACTTAAAGATGTCTTACACTTTTTATTGAAAGAGAGAGAAGTGATTAGGTTTGAAGATGGTGGGAAAATCTTTGCAGTAACAAAAAAGTTGTTTAGACTTCAGTTACTGTAAGGATTGATTTTTATATATGTATATATGTTGGAAAAAATATTTGTCTTTTTAGGACAGGTTCAGTTTCTTGCAATTGAAATTTGTTTTGAAAGGGTTTCTTATAGCAGATGCTAAACTGGCCTAGAATTTGTTCTTAATAACTTATCCTTTGAAATAAAACTGAATCTGAAAAAAACTCTCCTTCTGTCACCTTTGAAGAAGGATGTTAATTCTTCTGTGGGGAAAAAGAAAGGAATTACAATATCAATCCTTCTATTCCCATTTCAGCAGGTGTGACTTGTTGGCTCTGAGTTGGCATGTGAATGTAGAGGCTTAGTCTTGCACTTCTGCATTTCTTAGCTCCAGGGTTGCATTAAAGGATTTTGTTCAGGTTCTAATTGCACGGAATGAAACCTATGGCATCGGTCTTCTGTTTCTTCATTAGTGTCTTTAAATTAAAGTAGCTTTTTTGTTCCTTAAGAAAGGCATCTTTCCCATTTTTGACACCTAGATCTGTTGGAGTGTTACAGACAGTTGCCATGGGGATGATTAGATCACAGATGTGGGACTCGACAAATCTTGTTTTTGTGTAAAGGTCCCTGAAGATAAAACTTGGAACATGGACAGAATGTAGAAGCATGCTGTGCTCTCAGCAAAAACCACCCTGAACAGAAAGGTTTTCACGCAGTGAGGCGTCAGCAAGTCTATTATCAAAAACAAAACTCGCAGTGCTCTAGACAGACTGTATGAGCTACAGCACAGGCAGATAGAAAATTCTAATTCACAAACAGGCATTTCAGGAACTGCATGGGAAGTCATGTTGCTATGCTTTGGGAGTTTTCAGATGTAACATTTCTGACTGATCTTGTGCTATACACATGGGCTCATCCCCTCCCATCATGTATTTCCAGGTTGTTGGAGCTTTAGATAGATTCCAAGTATGAATCACTCAGGTTCTATACTGTCCCAGAGATGCACCATCTGAAGCTTTGCTTTCATCCTCTCTTTGTATTTCTGGCAAATCTTTGATGAGGAAAAGGAAGGTTTTACATGCAGAGGCACACACAGAGCTCTGGCAGCCTATGGGAAGCACTGGACTCCATAGGCTGCAGAGGCTGCTTGCAACTTAGACACGTTTTGAGTCTTTTTTCTTCTGGCTGAAGCTTGTCATAAATTTAACAGAAAATGCAGGTGTTTTCCCAGTTGTTCAGTGAATGAACACGATGGGCATTGGGCACTGGCTCTCAGTAACTTTTACTCATTTTCCTCTCTGGCAGGTTGGAATAGAGGTGGCACTGTGATGAAAAATACCAGAGCCTTTTTCCATCAGCCGAAGTGGCAGCGCAGCATTGTTCATTATGTCTACCAGAACATGCTGGGAGGCTCCATCCGGGCACAGCTCAGGCAGGTGAGGAGTTCCTCCTTCATGATACGTTAAACATCTCATCTCTGTACAAAAAAAAAAAAAAAAAATCTTGAACACAAGTGAGGAGACTTTAAAGAGGTTTATTGTTCACATACACACTTTGTGGCTCCAGATCTGGCATACTCTTGTGTTTCTTAGTCCTGTAAAATGCCAGTACTGGGATGGCTGTCCCTTTCAGTTGAGATAGCCTTGTTGCAACATTTTATCCTGTATTCATTCTGTGCTTCCTTTAATTACATTTAAACTTCGCTCACTACCATTTAGGTTATTGCACAGTGCTGCCTTTGCACACTGATGTAACTGTTTTGTCATGTTATTTTTGCGTCTGCTCTGCTTTGCTAATCATGTATAATTTAACATTGATTTCTCTTTTTCCCTCAAGTCCATAATCTTTTCCTAATTTTCAGAGTCACGCTCCTTTCATTTGAAAGTTAACTTTTTCTGTGGGAGGCATCTAGAATAGCTTTATATTTCAGATGATTTATCTATTTTAAGTATCAAAATGCTAAAGAAATCCCCATCATCACCCAAGCAGTACCTGTTCCACACCTGAATAACAATAGAGTTGTGTTATGGTTTTTCATTCTCTGTTTTGCTCTTGTTTGCTCTTATGCTGTATTGTTGTGCTTCAAGCAGTTTGGATGAAAGGCTATATTATTGTATCTCTAGGTGATGAATAACATTTTAGGATGCTCAGTGCAGGCATAGTCATCAGTTTCTTTTTCTGGTGGGAGATGTGTTCTCCTCCGTTGCGTCAGCTCCCACTATCAATACAAGCTGGGGAACAAAAGGAAACAGCATAGCCCTGCTGAAAAGGATTTGGGGGTAGTGGTGGATGGCAAGCTGGACACGAGCCTGCAATGTGCCCTTGTGGCCCAGAAAGCCAGTTGTATTCTGCACTGCATCAACAGAAGCAGGGTCAGCAGGTCGAGGGAGGTGATCCTGCCCCTCTACTCTGTGTTGATGGGACCTCACCTGGAGTACTGCATCCAGATGTGGAGTCCTCACCACAGGAAAGATGCAGACCTGTCAAATCACGACCAGACAAGGGCCACAAAAATGGTCCAAGGGATGGACCACCTCCCCTACATGGACAGGCTGAGAGAGCTGAGACTGTTCAGCCTGGAGAACAGAAGGCTCCAGGAGGACATGGGAGTGGCCTTTTTGTATCTAAAGGGGGGGCTATAAGAAAGAAGGGGACAGACTCTTTACCAGGGTTGTTGTGATAGGAAAAGGGAAAATGGTTTCAAACTAAAAGAGGGGAGATCTAGATTGGATATAAACATGTATTTTTTTACAGTAATGGTGGTGAGGCACTGGAGCACGTTGCCCAAGGGGGTGGTGGATGCCCCGTCCCTGGAGACATACAAGGTCCCCTGTTCGTAGCAGGGGAGTTGATCTAGATGACCTTGTAGGGTATCTTCCAGCTCAAATGATTCTATGATTCTCCCTTGTTTAATACTAGTTATCGTGCTATTTTAACTCAAATACTTAGCTCCCTGCACGTCATTTGAAGTGTGTATCTCTCATGTCTCTGTTATTTTCTGAGTACTATAGCTGATGTGGTTTTGTGTGGTCACAGGCTGCTTGCGTGGGGAACAATGTGTTCTCTTCACTGCACAGAGGGATTTAGCGTTTTGTGTGAGTGTGCTAAGGCTGGTGGTGATTAGGAATTATTAGCACTCTGCATTCAGAGATATTCAGGGATCCCTACAGAAGTTATTATTCTCTTCTATCTTTGTAACAGTGTCTACAGCTGCCCTTTCTACGTTCTCTGACCTCATACCGCCTTTTTCGAACAGCGAGTCCCTTTGACAGGAGAGTGACTTGCCTGGAGTGGCATCCAACACACCCCAGTACTGTAGCTGTTGGTTCCAAAGGTGGAGACATCATTCTTTGGGACTATGAAGTACTTACTAAAACCTGCTTCATAAAAGGGGTAAGTCTCTGGGTGTATGGAATGGGTAGGAACAGAAAGCTGAAGCACAACCAAATATTTGCAAAAATGACATCTGTTGCGAGATGTGCATAAAGGCCCAAAACTGAAATGGAGATTGAGGAGTGGCGTAACAATTGAAATGTACCAGCAAGTCATTCTTTAGTTCCAGGTTGTTCTAGTGCTAGGGAAGACAGAGATGTATTGATTGAATTCATAATGGAACAATACTTGGTGTGTGTTCAGTGAGAAAATAATTCAGCAATTGGCAAAATAGTAATTTTAAAGGGATGCCAGAAACAAGTACTCAAAGCAAGTCTGTCTTAGGTCTTCATCTTTCTCTGCTCATCTTTTATTCTGTGTCAGATGAAGGAAAAAACATCTTTGAGTGGAGAGAAACGAAGTCTCTTCACCTGAAGTGAAAAGCTGAGCTAGAATGGGTGGTTTACATAGCTGGCATGCCCACTGTTACTATATTCAGCCACTGTCATTCCTACAGGGACTTGAAGAGACTCTGAACTTTTGTCCTTTTGTAAATTAACATAGGTATATGCTGGGAGGGGATATATCCTTCAAGAATTCCAGGGTCATCTTTCTCTTTTTAATACTGTGGTGCCAGCCAGCCAAGGAATACATTACCTGGGGACTGGAGGAGTTACAGTTTTATTCTCTGGAGGGGCGGGTGTCCAGACAGCTGCCATGTGGGAAGACATGGTTGTTGGTATGGTTGTCTTTGCCTCCTGGAATGCTGTATTGTGTTTCATTGTTGCTGTTAAGAAATAACAGTGAATGCAGATTTAGAGAATGCACTTCCCTCCTTCCCCATCACTCAGTGGATTTTTCTCTTGTTCATCCCCTTCCTTGTAGATGGGAGCTGGAGGGGCCATCACAGGAATGAAGTTTAACCCTTTTAACCCTAGTCAGCTGTACACTTCATCAGTTGCCGGCAGTACCACCCTGCAGGATTTTAATGGCAATACTTCCCGGGTCTTCACCATCACCGAGAACTGGGAGTAAGAAACACAGCAATGTTTTGGGCTTCTGTGTCCTGCTGGCAGGAGCACTATAAAAAAAGAGAGAGAAAGGGAGATGCTGGACTCATATGTATATGGGAGCGGGGCTTCTTCTCCGTATACATCTCCTTTGTCCTCTAAACTTCAGTGCTGCTCTCTGTATTCCAGGAAGACTCACTCCCTTTATTTTCCTCTGAAATAGGGTGGTGGGTAGGAGAGAGCTTTTCTTCATTAAGGGGAGGGCTGTAGATGCTTGCTTGCTTGCTACCTGTTAAGGGAGTGTGGGGTGTGCCAGTGGGTTTCTTCAGCTGTAAGTTCCATAACTCTGCCCTGGGGACCTTCTAACCTCTTGACCTGGTAGCAGTGCTGCTCACTGCCAGATGTTTTTTTTGCTGAGCAATCTCTTGTGCCCCAAGTACTTCTCCATTAACACCACTGCCTTCAAGTGGTGCATGTCATAAGGATCCTTCCGATTCATTACATCTAACTTTTGATGCTTATATAAAATGCCAAAACTAAGAGTCAGTGGAATGAGGAGATGAAATCTCTTGAGGCTATCCTATCTGCCTGTGCTTAGAATCACCCTCTCAGTCTATTCTGTGGAACCACGAGGAAGCCTAAACTCTTCAGTTAGTTAATTCTGTTCAGTGTTGAAAGCTAAGTGAGGAGAAATTGGGTTAGCCTTTACATTTCTACACCTAGCTATTTCTGGTAGCAGCTTTTGTGTTTGGTTTCCAATCTGGCTGTTCCAGCTGCAGTTTTGTCTTAAGACAGAAGGTGATCCTTAGTGGTGCTGAGATGACTAGCTACGTGAACAAGGTGGGGCAGACTTTGTTCTGGACCCACCCTGGGACAGGATCTTGTACCCCAGTGGAATGCCTATCAGAGTAATGCCTAGATACACCATCCCTCTTCCACTACTGTGGAAGGCAGACACGCTCTGTAACTGGGCCTTTTTTTTTTTTTTTGTCTCTGCTGGCCTCTTGACAGCTAATATTTACAGTGCATCTTTGTTAAATAGCTGCTGTATGAGCAGCAGTGTGACACTTGAGTACTAGAGTTTGGGGACTCCCAGTCAGCATCCTTGTTTTCTGTCTTTGTTTCTGTAGGGTTTCCACATTTCCTCAGAAGACAGGCTGGGAGAAAACAGCTCTGGCATGAGGTTCTTGTGCCTTGTAGTTAGCAGTAGGATTTCTCTTGGCACTACTCTTGTTTTTCCTGGGGATACCTTGAGTAAGACCAGATAAAGCACTGAAAGTAGCCTGTGGTGACCTGGTAAATGAAGACACTGTAAGAAAGCTTAATGCAGGGTTATCATAAGATTGTCTGTGGTTTCTGCATGTATTAGTGTTGTATTTTTCTTGTAATCTCCTAAGCTGATCTGAGTGAGGTGGTTCACTGCACATTTGTCCTGCACCCAATGCAGAGGAAGCAGTGCTGCTAATGAGGTTTGCAGCCCAAAGCAATTGGGCTGAATCTACAGATACAGAATGTATGTGCTTAGGTTGGAAACAGATCAGAAAGTTCTTGTGAGTGTCCCCTGCCAGAAAGCTGTGTGTTCTACATAGAGAATTCTGCAGCGTGTTCCAGAAAGATGGGTTGTATTAAGATCTTTTCCACTCTAACCTTGATACCTTTTGGCTTTGTATGTATTCCAGAAGGGGCCAGGAGATTCTCTTGGAGACATCAAGTTCAGTCCTTATGAGGCAGTGAAGCTTTATGTGGCATCAGGGGATGGCACCCTAAGTCTGCAGGACCTTGAGGGCAGAGCGGTGCAGGTGATCTCCCGTGCCCCGGACTGTGGCCATGAGAACCATAATGTTTGGTGAGGAGGGAGCAGAGTGAGGTTGAATCTCTGCTCTGTAATGCTGTGTTAATGCTGTGGCTCTGGTCATGTGAATGTACACTTCTTGGCAAGTTTTAGGAGATTCTTGATATGAACTGGTCCTGTGAGGGAGCTCACAGGTAGGCTCCTGGGCCCCACTTCAGCCACTACAAGGATGGGTGATAAGCAAGGCAGCCACAAGGCTTTTAGCTTTTGCGGTAGCTGAGTACACTGCATCCACCTTCTGGTGTTGCTTTCTGGTGACACCATCTCCCATCTTGTAGATACTGACAGTGCTTCACTGTATAATGTACAGAGTAACTTTCTTCTCTTCTTTGTGATCAGTGGTTTGTGTTTTTTGTGCAACTCAGGCAGGATAGGAATTCCAAAAAAGCCTTCCTGCAGAATCTGAATTTCATCTTACTGGGTTTACCCTACTGCCCTGTGAAGAGTTCAGGCTCACCATCTAATCTCTTCCGTCTTGAATTCAAGAATAATTTAGCTCTGCAAGTGAACCTTTCCCAAGTTCCTAAAGGAACACAGCTTTACTCTTGTTGGGCCTACCCCCCCAGCAGAGCTGTGGTTAAGTATGTCTTTATCAGATAAGCCTATATTCATGTTTGTTTCTAGGAGCATAAAGTTCAGATAGTTTAGAAATGCAATTTTCTAGTCCAGAGCTCTTTTTTTTTTCTTTTCTGTTGCTTCCTATTTTGTGGAAAGCTTTTTTAAAAGCCATTTCTATATGTTTGCCATTGTCACTTGGGTGTGCCCATGTGAAGTTTCTGAGTGACTTTTCAGCTTCTATTATATTCCGCTGTCCCAACATGCCACACTCCCATCTATTGAGCACTTCATAGATGCCTTAGGAATTATTTCATATTCGGTCACCAGAAGCTAGCATTGCTGATAAGCCACCCCCTTTCCTGCTGTTCAGGGCCATACCATCAGATCAGAGAGAAGATGACAGATGCAATCTGTTGCATTCTCCTTTGTCAGAGACAGGGATAAGGTGTGAACTAAAGCTCTGCTGCCTTCACCTGCCTGTGGGAGGTAGCACTGATTTTCATCTCTTTCCCTCTAGCTGCTGGTACTGCAGTGTTGATGTTTCTGCAAGCTGCCGTGCTGTGGTGACAGGTGATAATTTGGGCAACGTGGTCCTGCTCAGCACTTCTGGTGAAGAGGTTAGTATGGCTCCACTAAGTGGTTTTTTGGGGAGGGAAATCTTCATGGCTTGTTCTTTTTTCCAGGCCCCTGTAGTGTAGGAAAGTACAAGTGCCTTGCAGTTGAGAAGATGAATCTGCCATTATTTAGGTGGTGAGATTTTCTGTGCTTCTGCCAACTGCATAGGTGAACATCGTAATAACAATTCTCAGACAGGGACTGTGTGATGTGCTGCCCCTTCCTTAAGGGTATTTGATGGTGGGCAGAGTAATTACAGGGCAACCTGTAGTGTATACATAAATGCCCTCTGCCAGCAGCCTTCATTCTTTCAAAAACAGTGCACTGGTGGAGGCCACTTGCTAGATACTGGTTTGATAGGTACCCTTCTGCGAGTACACAACAGCAATTCAGTGAATGTTGGGATAGAAATTGCACTACTGCTGTTAGGCATGAGAGGGCAGGCACAGCCAGACTGGAGTAGTGCAGAAACCTATTAGAGAACAGACTTGGAGTTGGTCCTGCTTATGAGAACCTGCTGTACTATCAGACTGGAATTACCATTTTTCCTGTCTGCAAGGGTAACATCTGTAAGAATTTACTGCCCAGTGTGCTGTGGCCAGAGGCAGTTGTATAAATTAGTAAGCAGAATTATAAATACTCTGTATGAGTTGTGTGGTTCTAAGCTAGTTGTTCCATTTTTTTTCTTCTGAAAGAATGTGACAAAAGTCTTTTCTTCACTTGGGATATACCCATTAGTATAGAGATGATGAACCAACTTCACTCAGTTGATTAGAAATAATCTTTTGGTGTCCAGTATAAATGTATCCATAGCCAGTTTATGTCTACTTGATCTTGATAATTGAAATATTTTGCTTCCTTTATGTTTAATTTTCTGATATATTTCTAGAAGCCAATTATATCCTTTTTCATTTTTATTAAAATAAAGAAAGCAAATTTTTTGGATCTTCACCAAAGCAGTCTCTTCCTTCTTGTTGTTATGTTGGCAGCTCAATTGTGTATCTGTTCCAGTTGTTTTAGTCTTTCTGTCAGTGGAAAACTGGTACTGCATGAAGTATTCCAGATGAGGTCTTGCTGTGTACCGTGGGTACTAATACTTTCCTCGGTGAACCAGGGATTGCGTTTTTCTTTCCTGTAGCTGTAATAAATTGATGGATTAGAGATTCTTCCAGAACTGAATAGTTCCAAGGTCACTCTTCTCCATTCTTGCTCCCACAAAGTAAACTCCTAGTGTACTGTAGTAGGTTTTATTTTATTCTTTAAATGCATGGCCTCTTTACTCTGCACTAGTAGATTTTTATTCAATTTCTTTACTCTAGCTCATGATTTTTTTTTCCTTTGTGATTTTCTGTTTGCTGCAGATTTGGAGGCTGAAATTGCACAAGAAGAAAGTGACTCATGTGGAGTTCAACTCTCGATGTGAGTGGTTGTTGGCCACAGCATCTGTGGATCAGACAGTTAAAATCTGGGACCTCAGAAACATTAAAGACAAAGCAAATTTTCTTCATGTACTTCCTCATGACAAACCTGTCAATGCAGGTGAGTTCCTGAGATAAGGATTTTGTTGCATGTATGCCCACTGAGTCTCCCATCCATGCATTTTTCTTGCTTTCTTTTTCATCTGAGTCTGTATCCAAATTATTTTGAATTCTGTCTTGCTTTTATTCCACAAAACCATGAGTTTCTTTTCTCATTTTGGAGCAAGCCTCAATACAATCAGATGCAAATTGTTCAAGTTTCATATAATTTTTAAATGCAAACATCGAACATTAACTTATCTAAGAGTGCTTTGGGGAGAGGTTAATATAACTATAAAAAATGGCTATTCTTTTTTTTTTTAACCTTCTGAGTAAATTATTTTTAATTACTGTTAGTGATATCAGTGGTAGAAGCATACTTAAATGTTTTGTTCTGTTTATGACAGGCAGCTTAGAGCTCAGCACTTCCTAAGGTATTGCCTTTCAGGTTTAGTAGAGAGTGTGGATTCACGGCATCTAAAGAGGGCTGCCTCAGAGGTTTCCCCCTGCACTCAGCCGTACGCTGCAGTCTGTTCTTGTGCTGGCTTTTGTGTTCAGAGGCTGTGTATGGCAAGACAGGTTAGATATTGAACCTGAGAAAAGCAGATCTGAATATATTGGGACAGTCCCTGTGATAAAAGCAGGATATAGGAGTTAGGGCTCTGTTCCTTGACTGCAGTTCTACCAGTTTGTATCCATCAGTGCCATGTCTCTTCTGTCATCTTCATATCTCATGTACTTTCCTGCACTTGTGACTTTCTTTGTGACTCTGAGTGAACAGGTTCCTTTGTTTGCAGTGTTTGTTTACATGACTCTAAAATGAGAATAGTAATTCTCCCTGTGTAATCCAGTGTAGTAGGTTTCAACTTACTGTAAGAGCTTTGACTTTGCTTGAGATGGGTGAAGCCTTGTCTCTTGAGATGCACAGCCACATTCATATCCTTAGTAACAGAGTTTATGGTTTTCCAGACAAATATGACTTCTGTGTTTCATGTCAATCACAGCATTGTGATCTTTGGCTTATTGTCCCCCCTCTCTAGCTTATTTCAGCCCAACAGATGGTGCCAAGCTGCTGAGCACAGACCAGCGCAATGAAATCAGGGTTTACTCATGTTCAGACTGGACCAAGCCTCAGCATCTGATCCCACACCCACATCGGCAGTTCCAGCACCTCACACCTATTAAGGCAAGTTAAGTCACCATAGTTTGAGAGGAGTATTACTCCTGGTGCTAGCCAGGAGTATTTTTTAAATAAATGGTCTGGTTTCTGGTCAGGATATAACACTGGTGGGTGGATGTTCATACTTCTGCAACTCTTGCAGAGCACCTTCTGAGGATGCTCCCATTGCTCAGGCTGTGGGTGGGATGCCCAGGCTGCTGCTCACACTGCTGATGCACAGCAGACAGCCAGCATCAGCTCTGCCCTGCTCTCTAACTCCCCATTGCTCTGTTCTATGACTAGGCAACATGGCATCCTCGCTATGATCTCATTGTAGTGGGTCGCTATCCAGACCCGAAGTTCCCAGGCTACACGGTGAATGAGCTGCGAACTGTTGATATATTTGATGGAAACACTGGGGAGATGGTTTGTCAGCTCTATGATCCGAATGCATCTGGTATAATCTCGGTGAGTTGGGCACTGCAGCTAAAAGTGTTTCTGAGTATTGATATTCAGCCAACAGAGAGGTTTCAGGGATTAGAACAGCAGGAATGTCTGTTTTACTTGTGACAGACTCATGCTCTCGTGGGGTTATGACTGGTGGCTAAAGCTGCTGACTCGAACAGGGCTATTCTATGGTCATCTGTAGGTTTCCTGTGATGCTCTTTAGGGAACATTCTGCTTTCCAGATTGTTGCCATTATATAAACAGTGGTGCTTTCATGCCTGTGTTACATAACCAGTGATGCTCTTACAGACTCATTTTATGTCTATTTTCAGCTGAATAAATTTAACCCTATGGGAGACACACTAGCTTCTGGCATGGGTAAGTAAAAAGAACCCGGAACATTAAGCTCCTGGAAAAGGGCAGTCTAGTTTCTCAGAGACTAAACAAGTTGCGAGTATGGGTTTCCCAAATCCCATTCACTAGTAGTCCTCTACAGTTTCCTACATATGTAAAGGAAATCAAGACCTTCTCAGTATTCTTCCACTTCGGCGGTTATGAAACAGCAAGTTTCCGGAAGTGTCAGAAGCCTTCCCTGGGCCAGAAGGTGCTGCCATCTGCTGGCCATGAAATTGTTCCAGAAAACAGGATGGGGAGAAAAAGGGCTTTTTCCGGCTAGGCTGTAGCACTTTCCCTTTATTTGACTCATTTTCCAGGTTTCGGAGCAGAATATTTATTTTCTCCTGGGCTATATGAGATTATGGGAGCTGACTATAAGTTTGTGGTTTATAATTGTGACAGATAAGACTAGGAATTACTCGATTACATTTCTCAATTAGAGCAGAATTCTGTGGGCCGCCTAAAGATTGTCTGCAGTACATATATTTGCATGATCTATACTGTGTAAATGTCTTAGAACAGACAAAATATTTTGAATTTCTGGCATCTGAGTGGCATGGACTATGGTACTATATTTTTATAAAAATTTTCTGATACACAAAACACAATGTTTTTGTTTTTCCTCTTAGGCTTTAATATTCTGATCTGGAGCCGGGAGGAGATGGTGATGAAGAAGCAAGAACATCTTTTGAAAGCCATGACAGAGCAGGGGATTGGGAGCCGGAGTTTGTCCAGACGTGGAGGGCAGAAACAGACAAACCCTGGGACAAGCACACTCAAAGCTAAGTTATTGTCTTGGGAAGTGGAAGAGATGGGAACAAAACCCAAAGATTCTAAATCACGGGGATGGAAGTGAAAAGGGATCTATATAACTGATAGAGTATTTTGATCCTTTTTTGATCATAGAAGACAAATTCAGTGCTGGCAGTGGGCAGAATAGGCACTGCAGGGCATTAGCCTTCTACTTTGTCCTTCCTCCCTAGATCTGATCTTGCTTCCGAGATTCTCTTTGCTTCTCCTTCTAGAGAGCTGCCCGTGGAGTTACCACTTAATTTCTGAGGCACTTCAGAGTTTCTAAGGAAACTTCAGAGATGTTTTCAGATCCTGCTGAAGTTACTTCTTCCAGCCTGCTTGTTATCATTACAGTGTGATAACAGGATCTGTGGAGCAGCTCATGATGAGGTCTCCAGACTGTTCTAGTCAAATTGAGCTGTTAGCAAGATTCATGTCTTGAAAGGTAGAATGTTCACAAGGGTGAGGTGATGGATAGCTTGAGTGAGTTAAGGAAACACCAACCTTTCTCATTTGCAACCTTCTTGCAGCATGTGCATCTGTCGAAACCTCAGGCTAAGCCTATTCTGCACTTGCAGCTATTTAACTAGACGATGAAGAACATTATGATGCCACACCTCTTTATCTGCCTTGTGGGATGCATAGGCAATATAGAGCTAAGAACCTACTGATTCTTTACTTTGTCTTCAGAACTCTAGGCATTTTTTTGCTACCAGTTAAGTATTTTTTTCACCCGCGCCAGCGTGCCTCAGAATGTTGGGTGTGTTGTTAAGCAGAAATGAGAGATTTCTTTCAGATGCCCCTTTTCAGAGTCAGATCTCACAACTGCTGTTAAACTGAAAAAAATCTGCTTTTTCTGGTTTGTTTATAAAGCTGTCTGGGGGCCTTGCTCCAGAGGTTGATGGATGGGCCAGGCTCTAGACTTGCTCAGATTCTCTGTGTTCACTTTATTATAGTTTTACAACATTGATATAAATAAAGGTTTTGTACTAAATTGAAGTACTACTTTGATGTAAAATGGGTGCTTTGAGCATTCTGCTGAACTGTTTTTATCTGGGAGGTTAGAAGGTATTATCTTGCTGCTGGAGAACTACGAGAACTAGAACTGATTTCTCTGCCATAATACCATATCTGCAACGGACCCTTCCCAGTTGGACAGGCTGCATTATAAGCTGTACATATGCATGGTTGCTACCAGCCAAACAACTTCGTTTCAATTCTCACTTTGCTCTAGTAAACAAGGAATTTACCTTGGAAGGGGATATACTAAGTTACCTCTGGTTTCCAATGGTGAGCACACTGGGGTTAACCCTGTGAAATCTTAAAGAGGAAGAATAAAGTTCAGTGTGAATTTGATTTTAATGATGAAAAGGAAATGTACTGGAACAATTACAGAAAGTCATTCACAGTCAGAATGTCATTATCATCATGGAAACCTTTCTTCTGCATGTGCAAAATTTGCTGTCTTTAAAAATAACAGGTCTGGTCCCTTAAATGCACTTTCTATTACCTCTTTTTTTTGTGCCTGTTCTCACAGGCTTTTGCTTTATGACTGCCTCGCTGTGCAGCAAACCTAGATTACATCTTCAGAGGACAAAAAGGTGAGAAAGATGCTGAGAACAGCAAGCTGCTTCTGCTGATTCAGAGTTCCCATGCTGGCAGATGTCAATTATGGTGTGGGGAAAAGTCCCCACGGTACTCCACAGAGGAAGAAAAGGAAATGTCTTTAGCCTAAGCACTCGCTTCTGCCGCCAAGAAGGAAAGGGAACTGCAGCAAAAAAGGAACTAAAACTGGGAAGTGAATGTGCAGCATCACCATGGGAAGAGCCTGTGCTGGTGCCTGCCGCAGTCTCTCATCTTCTGCCAGAAGCTGTGAGGCAGGTGGTGAGCACTTGGCAGTTGCAGCGTGCAGAGAGGCCCACAGCTTCCATCCAATTTGCCTGGAGAAAGGATCACACTTCAGACAGAAAGCCAAAGCATGGCAGATAAAGGGATCCACAGCTAACTGCAAAGTCTGATCCTTACAATTTGATTTTATTTTTTTCCTCTGAATAAGGTTGTCCAGTAGGGAATACAGGAAACTAAAAAAAAACCAAACAAAAAGAACAACAACAACAACAAAAAAAACAATACAGGACTTGGCATTTATTCTAATCTTGAAGTTCTTTGCTCTGTGGATTGTATGTAACTTTGAACCAAATACCAAAAAAACTACTGCCAGGTTTGCAGTCCTGTCCTGATCCCAGGCCAGTTCTTTTCTCTTGAGCTGCAGTGTGAGGAGGGGAAGCACTGACTAGCACAACTACTTAGCAGCCTCAGGAACCACTTTTCATTATCTGCCATCATCTGCAGCAGCTTCCTCTGCATGATCAGCTGCCAAGTCTCTGCACATGGTGATGTGGGCCTTCTACTCCAAGCCCAGCCTTCCCACCAGCATCAGTCCAAGGGCTTGAGAGAAAAGCACAAAAAGCAGGTTGTGGGGAAAGAGAAGCAATTCCTGAACTGTCCTAGATGTGGCACCTTCTGGAGAAACAAGCACCTCTGCTACAGTCATGATGAGTGGTTACATTTACAATCACTGAAAGGAGGAAAATTCTTCATGAGCTTCAACTGGCCGTGGTGGGAATCCCAGCCACAGAGTGGCTTCTCAGAATTAAAATGTGCCACTTCTATTAGATTAGGTTAATCCTCTCTCTTGGACATCACATTAGAAAGCATCCAAAAATTATAGTCCAGCTTCATTCTGGGAAGCAATGGCCAAAGCAGAATACTCAGTAACTGAAGATGCCCAATCATCCCTAGGGGCGACACTGCTCCCTCCTATTGCCTGGGAAGGAGTTGAAGCAACTGTCAGGCCTGCTCTTCTCCCTCATTGGAAACGTGCCGGTAGCCAGGGGGCTGAGACTGAATGCGAAGGAGTACAGTCAAGAGGAGGATTATAAGGAGAAGGAGTATGGATCCACACACAGCCAGACCCACAAACAGTCCTGCAATGGAGAAAATAAGCGGTCAGTATAATACCACGCTTTTCCTATCAGCCACTATCTGGTCCAGTTTAGGCTCACCTGTGTCACGCATACTGCTTGCTACCTGACATTCTTGCTCCCAGTCCTGAGGAACAACAGGATCTGTGAGTTCCAAGAATCTTTGCAATGGACATATTTTCTGACAGCCAGGGATTGTCAATGGGAAAGGTTCCTTTCCGCTCTCATTCCGGAAAAACATCTCCACAGAGAAATTACTGAAAAAAAAAAAAACAGAAATAGGTGTTGTTTTTTTTTTCCTTCAGCTGAAGTCATCCCTTCCCAAAAAGCTCTTAGTGTGCACACCATTTCCTTTAGTCTGGTGGTCGTTTTCTTCCTAAGAGTCTGCCACTAGGATCACGATTGCATCCCCCTAGATTACACCTAGCCTACGTATCTAACCCTCGAGGTGAAATCACAGCAGACATCTTTACTGCAGCCCTCACCCATCATCCTCTTGGTACAGCTCAAATAAATGACATGAGGCGTATGGTGCTTGAATCTTGTTGTAGACATCTAGAGCCATCTGCAGTGCCACAAGTGTGGTGTCATGCTGAGAAAGAGGGAAAAAAACCAAATCAGTCACCCTCATGAATGTGGCAGGGCAGCTCAGACCACACCAGTAGTGGACAGGACAGTAGTGAAGGGAAGTTCCCATTGTAACTTCCACAGGGAAGAAGGGAAAGGAGCAGTACTGTTTGAAAAGTGATCTGTGACGGTGCCAGAGAAGGAGAGGAAGTGAAGCACAGCCATATGTCCTTCATCATTCTGTTACGAATTATTTTCTACAGGGCAGTTTTGGGAGAGATGCCTGACTTTCCAGTCAGTAGGCTGCTGAAGTTAGGGGCATGACTTTAGCTACGCTGCTGTAACATCATATTTGAGTACCACCAACCCATCCACTAACTAAGTGTAGCACGATCCCCCAAAGACTACCAGTCTCATCCACAAGTCTGAGCTAAAAGGAGCAAAGTGCTGGTTAGGAATTCTCCTCAAGGGCCCTAGAGGAATGATGCCAGACATGGCACATCCCACCCAGCCAAAGGCAAAGATACATCTCCTGCTTACTGCATAGGCTGTGGAGAAGCCAGAAAGGGTTAAAGCCATCAGCAAGCCCCAGTCCCCAGTGAGGAAGGGTAAGTGGACCAAAGCTAGTACCCAACCTCTGACTTACCGCTGAATAGACAAGTAGTTTCAGTTGCTGGTGGGCAGAGGTATTTGCTGCTTTGGTTAGGTTTTTCCTAATGTGATCAAGCAGGACCCCTGGCAAACATAAGTAACTAGTAAGATTCAAAATCCAGACGAAGCAGCATAAAGCTCCTTCCTTTGTGCACTTACCGCCTTGCAAACGAGCTTTTTCTACCCGACGATGAATCCCAAACAGAAATTCAAAACCAAAGTCTTTTAGCTGCTTCATTTGAGTCATGACATCTGGTGTCACCCATGATGGCAAATCCATTTTGTGTGCTTGCTAGGAAGAGGAAGAGAGTACTCATGTGCAGGTAGCACAGACCACAGATTAATCAGAGAACAGGACTCAAGGCGTCTGGAGTCCTGCCCAAACTGTTGTTGTGTTCCTGCTTTATTTTAAGTATGACCCTCTTCTATTTATGCTTTTATCCTCACTGTGAACACTGCATACAGAAAATAGAGATAGTTTGTGTCCTTCCTTTTTTGTGTTGTTTTAGAAACTAATCATGAGAAGCATAAAAATTAAAATCTAGGAGCTACTTCTCAGTAAATGCACAACTGGATTGCAGGTTTTTATTGCTACAACAGTACAATAATCTTAGGGCTTTTGCTTTACATGTGTATGCAGATGACACACAGTCAGAAACAAAAAGACAAGCCAGAGAGCACAAGGACCCAAGTTTTCTGCTGTACCTGCGGCACAATTCCCCAGGAGGCTCTGAGGGCTAGTGAAGGATACTGGAGAATGTTAGCAAGCACTCTGCAACAGTACTGGGATGCACCACTGATACAGCCCAGCAATCAAACCTCAAATACACATAACTGGGAATCTAGAAAAGAATTTGCTTTGTAGCTAACCATTTACAAGAAATAATTAGTTATGCTGGCAGACAAACAGTTGTGGTTCCCTGGCATTACTCAGATGGGGTGATTATTTTCTATGTCACATCCCATTAAAATGCCAGAAGATGAGGCTGAATATCCTTAAGGGCTCATTCTGTCTGAGCAGTTCCCATTAGCAACTTATGTATTTAGCTAGTTTTTCATTACTATACAGAAATAGCTGCTAAGTTCAGGCATTTCTTGGGCTTTTATTTTCATCCAGGTGTTACAGTGAATCTCCTAGCTCAGGTGTGAAAAACAGTACTTCTCTTCAGGGCACTGTTTGTAAAAGTGAGAAAAAAGGAGGAAATTCAAAGTGTCTAAAGAGATTAATCAGTATGAGTATATAGTTTTGAGAGTGGATCTCCTCTTCTTTACAGTGTTCTCTTTTCACTTTGGGACAGTGAGCTGTTGCCTGAGATCTTGGGGCTACAGAGGTTCAGTTGGGTTTCTTGACTCAATTTGCGAGCTCTTTAAGTCAGTCTTGAAAGTGAAGATTCTTGATTTCTCTGACCAGAGGGATTTTTGTTACTGATAGAAGTTGCTTCAGAGGGATAGGAAATTACATTTGTGATACAAAGGCCAAATTTATATAGTGCAGCGCCACTCTGGATTGGAATATTCTCAGCTCGCAGCAACACAAGCTGCTACTTTACAGAGCAAAGTGCAACTGCATTCAGATTTATCCTTTACATCTCCAAAGGACATACACAGATACATTAATGTACCACTGCCAGCAAACTAAATAGCCTTGCATGTCCACAGTACTAGCATGGACGCAGAATTAGCATCGAAAGAGTGTTGGATTCTTTCTAAATTTATGGATTCTTTCAACACTAGCTAGTTTGACACTAAAGATCTCTATAACATGCTTCCTTACACTATACAGTTGTACACAAATCAATGTGTGCAATAATTATAAGTCTCCTACACACATGACCTTTGCTCTGGCATAAGCACAACATGGCTAAACTGATTTTTATTTTAAGCCTTCACAAGATGTGCTTTCAACAAAATACCCTGAGTTTTGGGCTTCACCCCACATGCTAGAGAAGTAACATCTGTCTCTAGTCTTTGTCATAAGATCTCATAATAGATCTAAAGCCAGATGTTGGTGAACCCCACTTAACCTAACAGAGAGAAATAAACA